TTGAGGCTAAGAGTCCTGGAGCCACATGGCAAGATGGGAGGAGGCTTTGAGCCCAGGTCCTGCCAGACCATTATTCCGCTCTTCCATTCTGAGGCTGGACCACGTTCTCTAAACTATCACGACCCTCAAATGCAGTTGGATGAGGCCTGTGGTTGTGGGGGTCTCCAAGCAGAGGAAGGTGGGGTCCCCTCTGTATGTTCAGCTCACAGCGAGCTATAGTGATGGGATCTCCATAGGGCCACTGTTTTTGTTCTCTCCAGGCACACGGTGTCCCTGGTGGCCCCTCTTAAGTATGGCCCCAGTAGAGGAAGATCATTATCAGACCCCCAGGGGCCTCAGGGAGACATTTCAAAATAATTAAAAAAACAAACAGAAAATGGTGTGTATGTCAAGAGCTGTCCCTGTCCTCATGACACCTGCATTTAGAGGCAATGAACATCATGGCACATAAACACAATGGAATACGACTCAGCCATAAGAAGAAACCAACGCTACCATTTGCAACAACACGGATGGAGCTAGAGGGTATTATGCTCAGTGAAATAAGCCAGGCAGGCGGAGAAAGACAAGTGCCAAATGATTTCCCTCATTTGTGGAGAATAACAACGAAGCAAAACTGAAGGAACAGAACAGCAGCAGACGCACAGACTCCAAGAAGGGACTAGCGGTTACCAAAGGGGAGGGGTGGGGGAGGGCGGGGGGGAGGGAGGGAGAAGGGGATTGAGGGGTATTATGATTAGTACACTTGGTGTGGGGGGTCATGGGGGAAGACAGTGTAGCTCAGAGAAGACAAGTAGTGACTCTGTGGCATCTCACTACACTGAGGGACAGGGACTGCAATGGGGTGCGGGGGGCAACTTGATAATACGGGTGAATGTAGTAACCACAATGTTTTTCATGAGAAACACTCATAGGAGTGTATATCAATGAGACCTTAATAAAAAAGAAATGCAGAAGTGGAAGGAAAATCCTCCAGAAAAAAAGATCCTTCAGAAAAAAAATAAAAATAACAATAAAAAAATACATCAAAGACATCATTTCAACAGGGACAGACTATTGGGAGGATCATAAAGCAAGGGTGCTAGAGACAGCTGGGGCGGGGACTGCTTTAGCGGGAGAGGGGAAGCTTCTTCAAGGAGAGGGCGATGGGGCAGAGCCAAGCATGATGAAAAGGAACAGCTACAGCTGGAGGAATAGCGTTCCCGGCAGAGAGCACGGCAGGAGCAAAGGCCCTGGGGCAGGAGCAAGCATGGCGGGCCCAGGGAAGGTCCCTGGAGCTGGACCGTAGAGCCTCTCAAATTCTCTCCAGTGAAGGCGCACTTCTTGTCTCTAATCTGTCAAATGCACTGAAAAGGAATGTCTAGGAAAATAAAATTGAAGAAGACATGCCTGGGTGCCAGAAAGCAAGGCACAGGTGAGGATGGGAGTGTGCCAAAGGAACACAAGAGCCAGCTGAGAGCTCCCGATGGCCAAAGCTGGAGCAGTCTGAGCAAGAAAACCCATATCGTGTTGGGTTGTAGCCCCAATAATAAAATAAATATCCATGATATCTGCACGTCGGTACTGGTGTAAATAAATGACTGGATTTCCTAACAAATGAAGGCCCGGGACCTGGCATGCAGACTTCCAAATACTTCACATGGACACCCCACCGCCCAGGACAGGTGGAGCTGGGCACTGCGGCTTCCACCCAGCGGGGCCGCATGGAAAGGAGGGAAGGGGAGTCACTTAGCAGTGGAGAAAGCTGACAGACACCCACCACCTGCCTAGGGGATCAAGGTCAACACGAGCAGTCGTGATTAGATGCTGGGAATGGCAAATCATGTACCCTGGTGTCAGGGTGGTGGCACTTAGCCTCTGTGGTCTCCCTGCCCCAAAGCCCACCACCCTCGCTGAATCGGAAAAGGGAAGAAAGATTCCCATCGAGAGGTGCCTTCTGGTAAACCTGACCCTCACGCCTCAAAACGGTCCAGGTCACCGAACAAAGGAAAACTCAAGAAACCGCCCCACCGAAGAGGTGCGTAAGAACCCAAGACAGCTAAATGTCCCGTGGGATCCAGGACCCTATAAAGGTACTTCATGGAAAACCTTGGATAGAGCTGAATAAAGCATGTCCTTCAGTTAATACTGTGTCAAAGTAATGTATGTAATGTTAATAATGTATCAAAACTTCTCATGAATTGTAACAAAATGTCCCGTAGGAGTGTGAGATGTTACTAGTAGGGGGGGATGTGCCTGTGTGTCTTGGGAGAACTGTCTTATAATCTGCTTAATGTTTCTGTACACTTTAAACTGTTCTGGAAAACTCTATTCATTAAAAAGAATTTCAAAGACATGCAAATGGTCATAAAATCACTATGTCAAGTTACTGCAAAGTTTCTAAACACTCCCTACTTTCCATACTCTCTCCTCTGGACAGGTAAGCAGCAGGTCAGGACTGGTGCTGGTCTGTGGATCACTTTGAGACATTTTAGAGCAAGTTTCTCAGCTGCAGCTATTTTGACAGTTGGGGGACAGGTCACTCATTGCCGCAGGGGGCTGTCCTGTGCACTGTATGATGCTGAGCAAGTCCCTGACCTCTACCCACTAGAGGCCAGGATCAGCTCTCCCTCCCTCCAACTGTGGCAGCCAAAAAAGGTCTCTGGACATGGCCAGGTGACCCCAGCAGGCTGAGCCGCCCCCACTGAAAACCACGCACGCATGCAGGGGATGAAGTCAAATTTGGAAACATAGTTGAGAACGTTCCATGCATAGTCCCTGCATGTCTGTGAATTTCCAGGCTACCTTGCGGGGCTGTCCCCTAGGTGACCTTACTGGTGCCAGGTGGGTCGCGGAAGCTTCGCTCAGAAGGCCATCCGAGGGTGTGGCTTTGAGTCTGGGGCCATGAGCCTGCGTTCGGAGTGCATTTGGGAGAGAGATTTGGCAGGACTTGCTGATCGATTGGGGTGGGTGGCGAGGAGAGGAAGGGAGGAGACTTGGAAGATGCGCAGGTTGCCGCCTTTCACCGCAGCGTGTCCTGTGCTGCGATGGGGCCGTGGGATGAGGGGCCAGGCTGTGCGGGGGAGGAGCGGGCCGAGTTTCGTTGGGGGCAGGTTGAGTTTCAGGGCCTGAAGGACAGCCCAGAGTTCATAGCTTTGACACGTCGCGGTGGGTGGTGCCCATGGGCCTCTTCAGATGTACGATAATCCCAGAGGGGCAGCTCCTCCCACAGAAACACAGTGGGACTCGGAAGCCACCTGTCCTTCGGTAGGGGGACGGATAGGTAAACCGCGGTGCGTGAGGACAGTGGGGTATTAGCCAGCTCGTCAGGGGAATGAGCTGTCAGGCTATGAAATAACGCGGGGGAAACTTAAATGCTTATTACTTAGTGACAGAAGTTCATCTGAGAGGGCGGGAGCCTGTGGCCTCCTAACTCCATGACATATTCTGGAAAAGGTGAAGCTACAGAGGTAATAGAAGCATCAGTGGTCGCCAGGGGGTTGGGGGAGGGAGGAATGCACAGGTGGGGCACAGAGGATTCTCAGAGCAGTGACAATACTGTATATGACACCACGATGTGGGATGAGTGTCATTACACGTTTGCCCAAACACACGAACGCACAACTCCAAGAGGAACCCTTAATGTCAACTCTGGACCCTGGGTGACGGTGACAGGTCCACACAGGTTCACTGACCGTAACAAAGGTACCACTCCAGTGGGGAGGCAGGGGCTGTACGGATAATCTGTATTTTCTGCTCAATCTTGCCACAAACCTGGAACTGCTCTAAAAGACAGTCTCCTATACACACACACACATGCACAGTGGGACACACAAATAAATACTTGATAAATATCCACAAATACACACTTGGGCCATTTTCAAAAGCCCCCCAGTAACACCCACACAAGCACACCAGGGAACACAAGTATGTAGTATCTGCACGCACACACCCTCATGCACTCCCTCCGTACTGACCTAGGTCAGGGGAGAGAGATGACCTCAAGGGTTGGGAATGCATCTCATGCCCTGAGGGGAATACATTTTCTGTCTGCTTCGAGGAGGAGGTCTTTGGGCAGATCAAGTGAGGCCTGGACCTGCCAGGTGCAAAGAAGACCAAGGTGACTGTCAGGGAGGAGGGTTGAGGGGTGAGTGGAGGGGAAAGGGGACCCTGGCCGCTTTTCTGACATTGGTGGATCTGGGAGGGGATGCAACGCAGACGCAGGTTCTGGGTCACCCTGCGGACTCCCCACTGCCTGGCCATCCCCAAGGGTGCAGCTAAGGGAGATGCTAGAAAAGGCAGCTCGGGTACAGACTCTGGGGTCTTGTGCTGCTGCGGTCTGCCCAGACGCCATGGCTTGGAAGCCTCTCAAGAACCATGGTTAGGGCTGAGGATGCCTGTGCGGAAGTCAGAACTGAAGCCTTTGGGTGATGAGACGGGGACTGGAGGACGTGGCCCAGAGAGGAAGAATGAGGGAGGCGAGGGTGCCTCGAAGGCGGGGCTGATCTCCTGCATTCGGGGTTGGCTTGGAGGCCCCGTGAGGTCAGAGTGCACACTCTTGGTAGGTGCAGGAGCATAGTGTTCTGTAGTGACCTCGGGGAAGGCAGTTTCTAGGGCATGTGTATGGGGAGGCATGTGTGCGTCTCCTCTGGTGCAGCCTATCCTTGGTTCTTCCCACGAACAGGGAGCTCACTACTGAGAGCAGCAGGACCTTCTAGCTCTGCTGGCCACGGCGTTATCCCTTTAGCAGAATCATGCATGTAGTAGGCACTGGATTCACGTCTGCGGATGCTATTTCACTGTCCCCCCTACTGTTCCTCAACTCCCCTGTTAAATTATGTATCCTGGACATGAAGGTCATTGTCAAGGTGTGGAGTGGTGTACAGCATTATAGGTTTTCACTTAGAACGCATGAATTAACAGAGCATCTAATATGTCTTAGGAGCAGGGGTTCAACCCAGACAAAGACAGTCTGTCCTCATGGAGGTTATGTTCTGGTGGGAACACAGACATTGAGCAGCTGAAGATACACTTGTTTAATTACAATTGTGCGAGTGCTCTGGATGCAGGGTGACGTGTAGACAGGGAGACCATTCAGCAAGCAGTCTTAATGTACGTTCAATACTCTTGTTACACCTGTATAAATAAAACAGGTCACACGAAATCTCTAAGCAAGTAATGTGAACGAATCTGTTCCTTAGGGGCAGAAACCTGCCACAGGGAGGAACTGCGAGTAGAAGATCGTTGGTGTAACGGCTCCCGACTTGTTCACATGTGCGTGTTCCCACCCATTCCTGGAGTCCCCTCCCACACTGATTCAGGGCTTGGCCATGTCATTTATTTTGGCCAAGGGGACCATAGGAAATGTGGCAGAAGCACAGGCTTGAAAAGCACTTGCAGATTGGAATAAAAGATGGGAGATCATTACAGACCCTTCAGACACTAAAAGGGCAATGAGGGAATTTTATGAACAACTTTATGTCAATAAATCTATTTACATGGCATGGGGCAAATTCCCTGAAATGCAAAACTATGAAACCTTACTTGAGAAAAAGTAGAGAACCTAAATAGTCCCATGTCAATGTACAAAAATGGAATTTGTGATGAAAAGCCTTCCTGCAAAGAAAACTCCATTCCCAGATGGCTTCACTGGTGAATTCCACAAAAATGTAAGAAAGAAATAAAACTGATTCTACACAAACTCTTCTACAAAATATTCGAGGTGGGCAGACTTCCCAACTCATTCTATAAGGGTAGCATTATCCTGATACTATAACCAGATAGGGACATTACAAGAAAAGAAAATCACAGGCTAATATCTTTCATGAATACAGACACAAACAATCCTTAACAACATAAATAGGGTACAGGTCCATCAATACATTAAAAAGGAAAACACATCATGGTCATGTGCGGTTTGTCCTGAATGCAAGGTTGGTTTGGCATTTGAAAATCAGTCAACTTGCCACATCAAAAGATTAGAAAAGAAAAATCAGATGAGAATCATCATCTCAAAACTATAGAAAACTCATTTGACAAAAAAAATCAACACTTGCTCCTGATACTGAAAAAAACCTATCAGAAAACTAGGAATAAAAGGAAATTTACTCTACTCAATACACAGCACCTGTGAAAACTTACAGCTAACACAATATAGTTAATAGCAAGAGATGGAACATTTTACCCCAAGATTGGGAACAAGGCAAAGATGTCTGGTCTTATTGTCTCTATTCAACACTGGAGGTCCTAGCCAGTGCAATAAGGCAAGAAAAGAAATAAAAAAGCACACAGATTGGAAAAGAAGAAGCTAAACTTTGATGAATTTCCAGTTTCATCTAAATAAATGAAAAATTAAAAAAGTAAAATATGATAGATAATCTACATAGAAATCATAAAGAATATGCAAGAAGGCTATTAGACCTACTATGAGTTTAACAAAGTTGTGGGATACAAAGTCAATATATAAAAAATGAATTCTATCTCTACAAACTAATGACAGACAATTGGAAGTTGAAAAAAATCAATGCAATTTTCAATCGTCTCAAAACAATGAAAAATTTACAGATTAATTTTACAAAATGTATGCGAGACCTGTACATGGAAAATAAGAAAACACTATTGAGAGAAATCAAAGAAAGCCAAAATAAACATAGAGATACATGTGTTCATGGATTATAAAATTCGGTGTTGGTAATATGTCAGTCCGCCCACTCCCCAAAATGATCTATCACAATAGATCACATGAAAATTAACATATAAGGATGTTCATCTCTATTCATTTATAACAGTGAAACTTTAGAGACAACTTAAATGCCCAGCAGGAAAGGATTGGTTAAATAATCAAGCAGCCATGGTAGCAGAGGAGAGGAGGTAGAGTCGTGTTTTAAAGGAATATTTAGCAGCAAGGTATTTTCTGGGGCTTTAAAAATGATCGAAAAGTGAAAATACAGAAATTTACCCTTAAATACTCACCCTCCCCATGAGGGAACCACTGTCAGCTGTTTGGAATAGGTTTCCAGGGCGTCTTATGCATGTAGATACTTGTGTATCATTTGTGATGTTTGACATACCTGCAGTCGTGCTCTATACAACATCATGTGGCTTTTTTTCCCATGGAGCAATACGCCAGGGATTTTTCCACGTTATGAATATAGGTCTGTCTCAGTGTTGGTAACGGCTGCAGAGTGTTCCCATACGATACCCCCCCCTTCCCTCCCTGCTGTCCTGGTCCCCAGGATTTACCTCAGTGTCCAGCCAGGTCCACATGTGGTTCAGGGGACTGGGACGTAGGCAGCAGACACTGAGTCCAGGCAGGGAGATGGCCAGTCTGTCCCTTTGCTGTGGCTCTGCTGTAGCCGATGCTGGACACATCACTGGTCTGGGGTGGTCAGCTGTGAAAGAAAAGATGGGCAGATTTGATGACATGAAAACATGAACAAAGACAAAAGACCCAACAAAGCAACAGCCTGGAAGGCTGTCCTGATTGTCTAACTATGCCCCTATTGTCACTCGCTGAGATTTTTCCATGTTTCACTTTTTTTTTATGGGGGAATGGATTCTAGTTTATTTGTAACTGATATATAGTGTGTTCATAATTGGGGAACTGCCCAAAGAAGTTTTTTCCCCAATTTTTCTTTTGGTATCATTAATGTACAATTACATGAGGAACATTATGGTTACTAGACAGCCCCATGACCAAGTCCCCCCCCACAAACCCCATTACAGTCTCTGTCCATCAGCGTAGTAAGATGCTATAGAGTCACTACTTGCCTTCTCTGTGTTACACAGCCCTCCCCGTGCCCGCCCCCCTCATTATATATGCTAATCGTAATGTCCCCTTTCTTTTTTCCCTCCCCTTATCCCTCCCTTCCCACCCATCCTCCCCGTCCCTTTCCCTTTGGTAACTGTTAGTCCATTCTTGGGTTCTGTGACCATGTTTCACTTTTACAGGCGGTGGCATCATGGCAAGCCAGGCTGTGGCAAGCACACATCTTTAGGCACATGTATTTATGGACTCAGTTGTTGGATATAGAGCGGCTGGGTCAAAGGTTATGTGCTTTGAGTATTTTGACCACAGTCAAGTTCCCTTCCGAAAAATGTACACTTCCCCTGTGCAAGAGGGTCGTAATGCTTTTTATTTATCCAATTCTCTGGAAGCCTTGATGTTTTCAAAATTTTTAACGTTTGCCAAGTTAAAGAATGAAAACTAAAATTTGTCCTATTACTAGTGAAACAGGCATGCTGTTGCCATTGTTCTGTTTTTCTTTTTTTTTGCTATTTATATTTCTAGACTGTTTACATCATCTGGGTGTCAACTTAGACTATTCCAAAGAGCCATGATGGTCTCGGGGTTAAGAGTGTGAACCCCAGGGATCAAGCTGCTCTGCTGTTTACTGGCTGTGTGACCTTGGGCAAGTCATTTAACCTCTCTGTGTCTCTGTTTCTCATCTGTAAAATAAAGATAATGTTAGAATCTATTTCACAGGGTTAAGGATTAAATTAACCTGATATATATATATATAAAGCACCTAGAATAGTGCCTGGTTCGCAGATGGCATTCAGTAAACATAAGCAATTATCAATTTTTGCCTATAATTTATGTTGCAAACAGTACCTCCCAGGCTGTTGCTCTGTTGGGTCTTTTGTCTTTGTTTGTGTTTTCATGTCATCAAATCTGTCCATCTTTTTTTCACAGCTGAGTTTCAATAAAAGCAAAACCGGGACATTTCAACTGAATATAAAGTAAGAAACTGGGAAAAGAGAAAATATTAACAGGATTCATGTCTAGGCAGTGGAATTCGGATGACTTTCCTCTTTTATACTCTTGTGTCTTCCGAATGTTCTAATGAACATACATCATGAATGTATATTTCCAGATGAACACACATTACCTTTACTTTATGCTTTGCTTTCAAATGTACTTAAGCATGTTGGTAATCATTTTATAATGGAAAAAGCACCACCCATCCCCAATAAACATTGTTTACCATAAAGGACAAAAAGAGTAAGGAGTTAGCCAAGTGCTGCACACTTGACCCTCCCAGAGCCAGCCCAGCAGAGAAAGCTCCACCCATGAAGTCTCCAATCCAGGGGCCAGACACCCAAACAGCACTCGAGCACCGCCCCTGGTGGCAGAACAAAATTGGATCCAGGAAAGGGGGTGGGGGTGGGTGTGTGTGTGTGGTGGTGGTGGTGGTGGTGGTGGTGGTGGTGGTGGTGTGTGTGTGTGTGTGTGTGTGTGTGTGTGTGTTCGTTCCTGTAAAGAGCTGTTTCACTTTCTTTAAATCACAAAGCAACCCTTTGAGTCAAGAACTAAAATTACGTAAAAGACATAGGAGAGAAAACTGTCACCCAGAAGACAGGGCAGAGTCACCCCACCCTGCCCCCCACTAATTAGTGACCAGAGAGGATCTTCCTAGGTCCATGAGGGGGACTTCTTTTCCAAGGGTCAAGTGTTGCTCCCAGAACTGCAGCCAAGAATGGAAATCTCAACAAATCCACTTCCTGGGGAAACAGAACAGGGTAGTGGGTAAGTGGTTCCATCTCTTAACAACTGGGTAACTTATGTCCTTCTCTGGTCCTCCGTTTCTTCTTCTCTAAAACAGGGATAACAACAATATGTTCTCCATAGAGCTGTTGTGAGAATTCAAAGATTCCATAAATTAATTGTTACTGTTATTGCTGCTGTTCTTGTGTTCTTGTGTGCCTGAAGAACAGGGGAAGTTATGTGGTTTCATTTGGGGGGGCGCTCCAAGAGTCCTAGAGAGTGGGAGACATCTCAGCAATCTTTGCTTTAGCTTCAGAGCTTGATCTCATTCCACATTCACTGAGCAGCAGCTATGAGCCAGGAGCTGGTCTGTGCAGTTTCTCTGCTGATGGAACTCGTATTTGCAGTGAATCTGTAATTGAGTGTGTCTCGGACAGAGAGATTATAAGCAATAAACAAGACAACTGTGGGTAGTGAACGTGACTTAAAGGCAAGGAAATGGGGTGGGTGGGGAAGTACTTTAGACACTGGTTTCAGACTGTTCAGAGAGGTCGATATTTGGGAATGGGCTTGTTCAGTTACACAGAGAACAAAGTGCAGGAGCCTTCAGGGCTGGAATCTGTGGGGAGTCTGAGGAAGAGAAAGAACAGAATGCGTGAGGTGGAGTGCAAGGCAGTGAAGATGGAGACGTTTACAGGGGACAAACTTGGGGTGAATTTTCAGCTTCCTGTGTCCCTCAAATCCTAGAGATCTGGAGAAGGCAGTGATGTTGGGGGCTGGACAGGGAGGGCAGAGAGGGGCCCTTGGCAGCACCTCGGACAGCACCTCCCTGTCCATGGTGCTGACACCCCAAGACCAGGCTCCCCGGGAGGAAGAAGCTATTGATTCAACAATGAGGATACAGGAGACCAAGCTCCTCACCCTCAAGGGGCCAGCATTCCAGGCGTGAACATCAATAATGATCAATCAATTGTCCTAGAAATAAACATAATTTTTTAAGGGGTTTCTATTGGCTCAGCCCATGCACTTGGGAGAGAGTGTGTTCACCCCCTCCAAATACGCCCAAGTCCGAATCCCCAGAACCTGTGCATATGTCACCTTATGTGGCAAAAGGGACTTTGCAGATGTGATTAAATTTAGAATCTTGAGATGGGAGATGATCCTGGCTTACCCGGGCGGCCCGATGTCATCACAGAAGTCCTTATAAGAGGAGGCAAGACGGTTAGAGGAGGAGCTGGGTGATGGAAGCAGGGGCCAGTGTGATACGGTGGGAGAAAAATCCAACTGCCCTCTGCTGGCTTTGAAGGAGGAGGAAGGGGCCACGAGCCAGGGAGTGCAGGTGCCTCCAGAAGCTATAAAAGGCAACAGAACAGACTCTCCCCCAGCTCCCCCAGGAGGAACACAGCCCTGAAGACACCGTGATGTTAGCCTGGTGTGACCCACTCGGGACTTGGCCCCCAGCATTGTAAGATAGTAAGTGTGTGTCATTTTAAGCCACCGAGTTTGTAGCAATTAGTTACACCATCAGTAGGAAACTCATACAAGAGGCAAAGCTCAGAAAAGCCAGGTCTCTTGCTCAGGAAATCTAGGATTTAGAAGAAATGGGCATTTGAACCAGGCGGTCTGACTCCTGTGCTCTTCACCACCTCACCACGCAGAAATATTTTCGCTGCGGCGATGGTCTGAACTGTGTAACCCCACACGCATATGTGGAAGTTCTAACCCCTCTTCAACTGACTGAAGGTGTGCATCCACCCCACCCTGCCCCAAAGTCCTATGTTGAAATCCTAACCCCCAATGTGATGGTATCAGAGGCGGCGTTTGGGAGGTAATTGGGTCAGGAGGGTGGGGCCTTCGCTAATTGGGGTTATTGTCCTTGTAAAAGAGACTTCAGATACCGCTTTCTCTGCAAAGTGAGGATACAAGTCAGCAGTTTGCACCCCAGAACTCACGTTGACAGCTTGGTCTCAGACGTCCAGCCTGCAGAACCATGAGATGCACATTTTTGTTGTTTATAACCCACCCCCTCCATGGTACTTTGTTATAGCGGTCCAAACGGGCCAAGACACCCCAGAACCTCAGGGCATGACTACATTTGGAGACAGGGTCTTTACAGAAATGACTGAGGAAAATGAGGTCCTCAGGTTGGGCTCTGATCCGATCTGACTGGTGTGCTTATAAGACGAGATTAGGACACAGAGGCACAGAGGGAAAACCACGTGAAGACCCAGAGAGAAGACAGCATCTATGAACCCAGGAGAGACGCCTCAGAAGGAAGCAACCCTGCCCACACTTGGACTTGGACTTGGAGCCTCCGGAGTCCTGAGCAGTAAATGCCCGCATTAAGGCCTCCCAGTCTGGGAGAGCAAAGTACCTGGGGCCTCTGGGAAGCTCCAGCACGTCTCCAGCTCCACCTGAGCTCCCCTTGAGGAGCGGTGCTCCCCAAACCTGCAGTCACTGCAGCTAGGGGGCTCAACCCACCCCCGCTGGTTCAGACTTCTTCCCAGTGCTAATCTCACTCTGAATCTCCCATCCCATGTCTTCCCCGAGAGGGTCCCTCTGACCCCTCAAACTCCATGTGCTCAATAACGGAACCCAGCCGCCCCCTGCCCCTGCTCCTTAAAGATGCCCCTCCGCAGTCATCTATGCCAAGGTACCCTTGTCCTCCTCCACGTCCCCTGCATGGTCCCCCACTGCGTATCAGCATCTATGTTCTGCCAAATTTTCTCTCATGTGTTTCTTGGGTGTTGTCCCCTCCTCACTGCCCCGGTGTCTGCTGCCCTAATTTAGGCTTCATCATCTCTCCTTGGTCCTTCGATCCACTCCCTTCTGCAAACTCAGATCTGACTATTGCCTCTTGAAATATTCTGATTCTCTGCTCTGCTCAAAAACCCTCTAAGGCTACCCACGTGCATGGCTGGTGGGAACATAAAACAGTGCGGCCCCTGTGGGAAAGAGCCGGACAGTTCCTCAAAAAGTTAAACCTAGAATTACTATATGAATTAGTGATTTTATTTCTGGGTCCATAATCAAAGGAGGGACTTGGTTGGATATTTGCACCCCATATTCACAGCAGCATGATTCACAATGGCCAAAAAGTGGAAGCAACCCAGTGTCCATCGATGGATAAGTGGATAAACAAAATGTGGTATAGCCACACAATGGAATATTATTCAGCCATAAAAAGGAAATACTGATGCTTGATGTAACATGGATGGACCTTGGGGACACTGTGCTCAGTGACACAGGCCAGACACAGAAGGACACAGATCCTGCCTGATCCCACTCCCAGGAGGTCCCCAGAGGAGTCACATCCTCAGAGACAAAAAGTGGATGGTGGGTACAGGGGCTGGGGGAGGGGCTGGGGAGTTTCTGTTTCTTAGGGACAGAGTTTTGGTTTTACAGGAAATGAGCTCTGGGGCTGGATAGTGGGGACGGTTGACAGCAGTGTGACCAAGTGCCCATGGAACATTCTCCAAGAGAGATCACATGTTAGCCCATAAAACAGGTCTCGATACATTCAAGAAGATTGAAATCATATCAAGCATCTTTGCCAACCACAACAGTATGAAACTAGAAATCATTTACAAGAAAAATGCAAACACATGAACACCAAACTTTGCCGCTAACCAACCAACGGGTCAATGAAGAAATCAAAGAGGAAAACACAGGACCTTGGGGCAAATGAACATGGAAACACGACTTTACAAAGCTTGTAGGACGCTGCAGAGCAGTTCTAAGAGGGAAGTTCATGGCGATACAGGCCTCCCACAAGAAACAAGAGAAAACGGGCAGAGGATGTGAACAGACATTTTCCCAAAGACATCCAGATGGCCAACAGGCACATGAAAAGGTTCCACGTGGCTAATCATCAGAGCAATGCTAATCAGGACCACAAAGAGGTATCAACTCACACTAGTCAGATTGCGTGGTATCAGAAAGACAAGAAATAACATGTGTTGGTGAGGGCGTGGAGAAGAGAGAACCCTTGGACACTGTTGGTGGGAAGGTAAATTGGTGTAGGCGCTGTGGAAGGCAATATGGAGGTTTCTCAAAAAAGTAAAAAACAGAACTACCATTATGATCCAGCAACCCCAATTCTGGGTATTTAATCTGAAGAAAACCAAAACACCACTTTGAAGAGATATACACACCCTGTGCTCATTGCAGCATTATTTACAATAGTCACGATATGGGCAACCTAAGTGCCAGTCAATAGATGAATGGATAAAGAAGAGGTGGTACATGTATGCAATGGGGTATTACTCCTCTATAAAAAAGTAGATCCTCCCATTTGTGACAACATGGATGGCCCTAGAGGGTATTATGCTAAGTGAAGTAAGCCAGACAGAGACAAATACTGTATGATCTCACTCATATGTGGAATCTAATAAACAAAGCAAAAGAACAGACAAAACAGGCTCATGATCCATGGGCGAGGAGTGCGAATGTGGGTAAATACGTGAAGGGGATTAAGAGGTATAAACCTTCCGGTTAAAAAATAAATAATTAATGGAGATGTAAAGTACAGCACAGGGACTATTAAAAAATGGTTAAGTAGCAAATTATTATGTATATTTTCTAATGTATATTTCATACATATATATTTCAGTATATATATATACACACACACACTATATTATTTTCTTATATAATTTATAATAAAACACACACAACTAAAAAAAAAAAATTAGGGCTCCTTGTTACCCTCATAATAGTCTTGTGAATGAGCACACTCTTTGCCAAGTCCCCACTCTGGTCCAGTATGTGGCAGGGGCAGTGACCAGGTGCCCCTACCGCAGCACACAGTAGGGGCACTGTTGGCTGGGAGTCCCTGAAAGTTCTTAAGCCATGTGCATGTAATTGTGTGCACATGCTTGCGTGTGCAGAGGGTGTCAGCAGTGCACACAGTAGAAACACAGAAGAAACAGAATGCCTGCACACAGTAGGTCCAGCCAAGGGGCAGAGGCTGTGGGATCCCAGCAGGGAAAATGAGGGGTGCCAGGATAGGCACCCAAAAGCATCTCTGATCCTCATGGGGTGCATGTGGCATCCGGAAGCCCTGTGGTCTGGAGCCAGCACTGAGTGGGAACCCAGTGGGGGAAGCTGGGTCTGAGTCTGGCCCATGGGTTGTGACCAGCTCAACTGTCTCAGGCCCCAGCTCCAGCCGTCCTGAGCATGGCAGGTGGGGTGACGTGCCACAGAACCCAAAGATGACATGAGGCCTCTTCTGGGAGGGGAAGGTTTATTGGGAGTGCCTGATCAAGTGCCATCAATGCAGCAGACCCCTCCCCTGGGGACAGGGCAGTCCAGTGTGTGGACCCAGCGGGTCACAGGCATAGCAGCAGACAGAGGGAAAGGGAGCCACCCCGCAGGGCCCACCCCAGGGGGTCCCTCTCTAAGTCCTCAGGCATCGGCAGCCGAGCTGGGAGGGTCCTGCGGTAGACAGCGTCGGTGCCGGAGAACGGACTTCTCCTCCTCCTGCGGGACAGGAGTGCCCCCCACACACGCGTCACACAGTATGGGGCACCGGTACGCGGCAGCACACGTCGGCTGTGTCCCCTCGCCTCATGGGGGCCTTGGGCTGCCATCTCTTACCATCTCGGAGGCAGTGCTGGGGCTTGCGCCCTCAGGGGAGCCCCCTTCGTCCCGGGAGCAGTCGGGTCCCATGTCCTCCTCATACTCTGTCAGGCAATCGGACTCCTCCCCTGCAACCGGGCAGCAGGGGGGAGGTGAGAGGCACAGGCTGGCCTGACATCTCCAGCCATCTCCCCCTGACCGCAGGACCAGCCCCACCCTCCTGAGGGTGCCCGCGGCCCCTCACCATCAGCGCAGCCGTCAGAAACATAGCTTTTGGGTGGCTCAATCCGGGACACGATCTCCGCCAAGTCCGTGAAGCCAGAGCTGGGGAAGGCCAGCACCTGTGGGTGGTGGGCATGAGGGTCTCCGGGGTCCTGGGGTCCTTGGTCTCAGGGCCCAGTGGTGTTTTAAGGGCTAGGAGATCCTGGGGGAGCTTTCTGGCCTTGGTGGCTCAGCTAAATCCAGGGAGGTCTGGGGGCATCTGAGTTTTTGGGGGGAATGTCTGTGGTCAGAGTGGCCCTGCCAGGAGAGGGCACGGGCTTACATCAGCACGGCGACTCTCGTTAAGGTCGGCAGACCGCCGGTCTGTGAGCATCTTTTCAATGATGTCTCCCCGGCTCCAGCCCCCAAACACGGCCTTCCCATACTGGTAGCCCACGTCCTGCAGGAAACAAGGGGGCTGAGGCCATGTTTGCAAACCCCACCCCCCAATTTTCTCTGCCTTGTCTTCTTGGCTTATCCCTACTTGGTCTGCCCCTTCCCTGCCCCTTAAAAGTCTGATGGTCCAGGGAAACTAGCATTTGAGACTCAACCTATTTCAGACGTGAGTCACATCCTCACGTCTCCCCATCCTGTGCCCTTGCCAGACATTACCAATAAATCCTTCCACGTTCTTTCACTCAGCCCCGTGCAGTGTGCCAAGTGCCAGATGACACGAGATGGTGGTGTGCACAAGCTTATTTGGAGGTCTGCAAGTACGTGGGTCATCAGTAAATACCACCACCTCCCATACCCAGAACAGACATCGCTCATCCCACTTGCATGCTTTCCCAGTGAGCTCAGAACAGGACATCAGACGTTTTTACCCAGGGGTCTGGGCAGCAGCTACTGATAAGTTCCAGTCGGCAGGGTCAGTTCACAGTATTTCTGGGTCAGTGGCACATGACATACACTGCTACATCCCTCTCCTGCACTTGTGGCAGACATTACTTCCTGATTTCTGTTCTCAGTCCCACCGAGGTAGAAATGGCATCAGAAATCTCTAGACGGCATTTCAGACAGTGCAGTTGGTGCATAATAGGAGACTAGTGCATATGCAGCACATGCACAGCCAAAGCCCATTGCCACACACTGCAGACATCCCAAGTCAATCACCATTCCATTACTCACAGATCCCACCTGGGAAAGGAGCCCTAGAACCCTCCCCCTCATGTTGCTTTGGGCTTTAAGTAGTAAAGCTTTGCTGGCCCGCCACACTGGCACCAGACTGCTCCTGCTGCTCACATAGATCTGGTCGAACTTCCCGAAGTCCATGGTCTTGAAGCAGTCGATGGGTGGTCGCAGGTACTCGCAGTAGGAGCTGGACTTGACGACCTCCAGCTGCCGCACGCAGGACACATAAGCCAGGCGGGACTGGATCTCCGCCATGTCTGGTACCTTAATCTTGTCTGCCCAGGGGTTGAGCCGCTTCCACAGCAGCCACCAGCCAGACAGGCTGTCGCCATAGGTGCTGAGGTCTGTCTCATCCTGGCTCCCCACGTCGATGGCTATGACCGTCTTGGCACCCATACTGCGAGCAATGTCCGCTGTGGGGCCGGGGAGGTGTCATCAGATGACTCCCACCAGGGCCCAGGGTAGGGAAGGTCAACCCAGTCCCATCATGCAAATAGTCATGCAAAAAAAAGCAAAGAAAAAGCCCACACAAACAACATGCAAAGGGCAAGGAAATGGTCAAGATGATGTCGAGAAAGTGGGGTCCTATGTTGGAGATTTTTGTCTGGGGAATCAGGGTCAGGTATACAGAAAGACAGGAGGTGAGACACACACACGGGGGACAGAGAGGTGAAAGGAAGAGACTAGGGGTCACAAAGACACCAGGGAAGAGAGAAGAAGGGATCAGGGATGGAGAGAAGCTCAGGGATGAGAAAACAGAAATGTGGAGATAAAGATGCCAAGAGATAAGAGTCCTGGGGGAGGAAAATGCAGGGGGGCATAGACATCAACAGAGATGTGCAGGGATGAAGGGATACTGGGGGTCAGAGCCCTGGGAGGAGAGAGAATCTAGGTGGGAAAAGAGGCATCAGAGCTGAGACAGGGACAGAGAGCAGCAAGCAGGGATAAGGTGATTTGGGGAAGCAGGACAGCAAGGAAGTGTGTCCATCGGTCTGTCTGCATGTCTGTGCGATCAACTGTGGGTCCCTGAGTGGGCCTGGGGGATCCTGGCGATGACCCCCGAGCCTCCATCAGACTTTGCACATGCCCCTCACGAGCTTGTGGTTTTGGGTACATGTGCCCACGCCCACCCATCTGTGGGCTTCTGCATGCGTTCCTATCATCTGTGTGCAGCTGCCCATGCGGGTGGTGAACACACACACCTCTGGGGGTGCCTACACCTCTGTACACGCATCCAGGCCTGTGTTTATTTCAGTCCACGTGACTATAGCGTCCGTGCATTCCCTAGTGCTTGTCCGCCTGTGGGTTTGTGTGCACCTGTTCACACAGGTGCGGCTGCATTAGTGCGTCTACCTGTAAAGCGCACCTACAGCATGAGTTGGCAAACTTTGTCTGTAAAGGGCCAAAAAGAAAGTAATTTCAGCTTTGTGGGCCATACAGTCTCTGTCACAACTATTCAGCCCTGCCACTGTGGCACAAAAGCAGCCAAAGACAAAGTATCAGATTGAGTGTGGCTATAAGACAATAAAACTTTATTTTAAAAAATTAGGCAAGGGGCCAGATTTGGCCTGTCGGGCATGGTTTGCTGATTCTTGACCTACAGGATTGCGAGTGCATGTGCAGCCAGCATATACATCTCCTTGTGTGTGTGAGCTGCTGGGAATGTGAAGTTTTAAGTTGCACACCCACCTGCCTCTCCCCTGCACATGTCAGCAGGCACAAAGATGGCTAAACTTGGTCATGCAGGCGCCCTTCCTGTCTGCATGCGTGTGCATGCACGCATGTTCAAGGGAGAGGCAGTGTGAGTGTGGATGGATCAGCAGGCAAAGACATGTCCTATTTCATCAACACGTGTACCTAAACATGTACATCTGTCCAGAGCATGAGTGAATACCTGCTACATGAGTCTCTGCAAGCACACGTGAGTACGTGGCAGCTGGTGTGCATGCATAACAGTGTCCCATCTCCATGTATCTCTGTGTGTGCATGCATATCTGTGTGTGCGTGTGTCCACTTCTGTCTGATACAGCATGCACATGCTTTTCAACTCCACACACTCCTGTCCCCAGGCATACACGTACACCTGCTTGACTGCATAGGCATTCCTAGCCCTGCACAGGTGTGTCTGCGCATGGACGCTCCTGCTCTCGTGTACACGAGCGGGCAGGCAGTCACTTGCCTGGCAGGTTGTTGATGTAGCCGCCATCCATGAGGAGATGCCCGTCCTTTGGGTCGCAGAGTGGGGGCAGGTAGCCCGAGAGCGTCATGCTGGCACGCACGTACCGCCACAGGGAGCCTGCCCGGCAGGACATACAGACACAGACACGCACAGACACACTCAGACATGCTCAGAGGCCCGGCCAGCCCAGTGGGCTCGCTGACCTGGCACGTTGTTGACATAGCACCCATCCACCAGCGGGTGCCCATCCTTGGGGTCGCAGAGTGGGGGCAGGTAGGGACAGTAGGAGGCACTGGCCCGGACGTAGCGCCACACACAGCCTGCAGGGATGGCGTGAGGGGGTGAGGTGCCCGACTAGACTCCCAGCTCCCCACCCCAGAGGACACACGTACCTGGGGCCTCTGGGGCATTAGTGGGTGATGGTTAGTGTTCCGCAATCAGGCCAAGGTGATGGTCACTCATGTTAATGCCCCAGACACTTGGTTGCCCTCCCTGCACCCCATCCCCATGCGGCCACAGGGGCTATGGGGCCGGCGGGGGCACCCACCATCTTTGTGGACACGCATGGCCGAGGCAGTGATGTCTGTGGTCACGTTGAAGTACGGCAGCCACAGGTCCTACAGAGACAGGGATCAGAACGGGGCGGAGCAGGGGCTCCCATGAGCAGGGTTGGGGGCGGGGCGGGCAGCGGTGCTCACCTCAATCTGCTTGTCCTGGAAGACACGGTGGATGCTGCGGTTGAAGGCCGACCCCGTGAACATGGAGGTGACAGGGTACGTGAGGTCCAGCACAGGCTCCAGCACCGAAGTCATGCTCTAGGAGTAAAGGGCCGGGAGTCAAACAGGAGTCACTTGGGGTCACTAACAAGGAGGTTTTCAGGGGTCCTGGGACTTAGGGACTAGGGTCACCCACTAGGAGGTCACGCAAGATGCTGGAAGTATCTCTAGGCAGGTCCAGGTGGAGCTCAGGAAAAGGTCAGAAGCCCAGAAGCCCCTCTGGGATCAGGTTTCAGGGTGCTCCTGGATTGGGGGGAATCTCTGCCCCCAGCACACACCTTAGCCCACTCCCGGGCCCGCTGCTTGGTGCGGCTGGCGCTTCGCTCCTCGGCGTACAGCGCCCCAATGAAGGAGCCAATGGATGTGCCACCCACCAGGTCAACAGGGACCCCCGCCTCCTCTAAAGCCTTCAGCACTCCAATGTGTGAGCAGCCCCTGTGAGGAAAAGCAGACCCAGGGACCCGCTGGGGAACCCCAAAGCCCGTCTCCCCCGCAGGCAAGGATAGTGCCAGTCCCCGTGGAGTGGCTCCCAGGACGCAAGTCCCGCCCCCGCGCTGGCCCACCCCTCACCTGGCCCCGCCCCCGCCCAGCACCAGGGCGATGGTGTTGCCTGTGAGCACCCGCGCCAGGCGAGAGAAGTCACTGTGCCGGTCTGCCTGCCTTGAGAAAACCTTCTCGTAGAGCTCATGCTGGGATGGGGGGTAGGGGGAGAAGAGAGACATGATCTATGAGAACTGGGGTGCAGGAGATGACATCCGGGCCTCCCTGGCACCGCCCCAGCCTCGCAGGCCTCTAAGCCACGCCCTGAAGGTCTGGAGAAGTGCAGTTCCCGGATCGCCCAGCTCCAGGCGCAGGCTCACCAGCTTGGCAGGGCTGCGGCGTGAGAACAGGCGGCGCGGACAGCGCAGGTGCAGGTGCCCCGAGCACCAGCTGCGCATGTTGAGCCACTCCACCGTGCGCGTGGGGCCCGCGCCCTCCTCGCGGTGCAGCAGGACTAGCTGCTTGAGGGCGCGCACCGCAGTGTTCTCCAGCATCTGCTCCAGCTGCAGGGGGTGGGAGGACAAGTCACCAATCACCGGTGTCCTCCCCTCCCCCCACACGGGGCCGAGCTGGGGTCCCCCGGTCACCTAGCCCCACGGTGAGGCTGCGTGTGGTCCTGCGCTAGCACAGGAGGGCCGGGCATGGGGTGAGGTCGGGGAAGGCCACCGTGCAAGGTCCCCGGACCTGGCCGAGGGTGGGCTCCTGGTCGCCCAGGCCCACGATGAGGATGCAGTCAGCCTGGCGCAGGCAGCGCACCGTCCAGGGCGTCAGCGAAGCATCCGTCTGGTAGAGCACGATGCGGTGCGCATCCTCCTGCTGGGCCAGCCACCCTGACAGACGGAACTCTTGGATGCTGGGGCGGGGGAGCGCAACTGTTATTCTGGGGTTGGTCAAGGGTCCCATGCTGCCCAGAAACCATGTAGCTCTACTGCTGGGGGGAAGGGGCCCTAGACACCCAGGCCCCCATATTGTGCCTGTGTGCTCCTGGGGCAGGTTCACCCCCTTGTCTCCCAACTGACTAGGTGGATGGGGGCACATGCTCCTCAGGTCACAGCCTAGAACTTAGTCAGATCTGAAAGAATACTAGGCTTGAAGCTTCTCTCTCACCATCTCCCTCCACTCCACACCCCAACACACACCTGTCCAGGGCAGAGGCCCCCAGGCGGGCCCGGATGATGTCACTGTTGAGGAGGAGCGTGGGACCTGGGGATGGGGAAGGAAGGGGGTCAGGAGCCCAGGTCCACGGAGCTGGGGTCGTCTGCCACAAAACAATGACTCCCACCCCCACCCTCCACGCAGGCATCTCTACTTATTGGCGAGTGCCCCGCCCACATCCATTGGGTCCTCCCCAGACCAATGGCCTGCTCTCATGCACCGCCCCCGTCCCCGACTGACCAATGGCTTGCAGAGCGTGCTGCAGCTCCAGAGTGAAGGCCACCATGGGCACCTCAGCACACACGGGCAGGACCGCCACTGTTGCCAGGTTGCTGGCTGGGTTGGTGAGCTCCGAGTGAGGGGGGACGCCTAGCCCCGAGCCTGCTGAGACCCCAATGGAGGAGATATGCTGTGCAGTGCTATGTCTGGAGAGACCTACCACCTCCTTCTGAGAAACCCCTGCAAGGCAGAGGCATCCTCCAGCAGAGGCAAACAAAGCCATAGCAGAAATCATGGTCCCCATCCTGAACCCACAGCCACATCCATGTCCCGTTTTGGTTGGATCTGGCCAGTGGAGCCCTCAGTTTTGGCCTTAATCTCCTCAACGGGGTCTGTTACACAACCCCACAACTGTTCCGATTCTCCACCGTGTCTGCAGGGATGGATCCATGCTCCTACACCTTTCTGGCTTTGGTGCCCCGTTCACTGAAAGGATTTGAACACAAAGCTAGACAGAAACCCACACACTTTGGGTCCATATACGGCTTCCCAGGTTCTCCACTGACACTCTACCCTAGGCCCTTACCCTCTGTCTCTTGCCCGGGCCTCTCACTGCCTCCTCCCCTCCAGCCGCATCCCCTAACAGTCCGCACAAGCCCACATGTCCTTCCCCTACTCTTACTGACCTGTCCCCTCCCCTGTTTCTCCTCCTTGCTCATTTTCCTCCTCGAGGTGTTTCAAAACCACTAAACCCTGCGTGCAGGGCTTTGGCAGTTCTCCTCAATGCCTGGTCCCATGCCATCTGTCTCGTCTCAGTTCAGAAAAACCTTCCCTCTCCGGGCTAAGGTCCTGGGCGTGGGGGTGGTTCTTGGCCACGGGTCACCCTGGCCACCACCCCAGGGATTCATATGGTGGGGTGAAGGCAGAAGCCCCTGGGGGAAAAGGGATATGGAGGTAGCAGAGCTGGCCCAGGGTCGGGTCGCTGTAACATAGAACCTCCCGCCCTTACTCCCCAGTGTACCTAACTCTGCAAAGCTACATCTTCCAGCAGGTGCTGGACAGAAAACCACATCTCCCAGCATGCCGGCAACTTCAGAAGGCACTTCCCAACATGCCCTAGGTACCAAACACCGGCTCATGAACTCCATTTCCCAGCATACTCTGGTCTGAAAAAGGAACTCCCTTTTTCAGTGTTTGGGAAGTGGACTCCATCCCCCCAAGAAGGCCCTGACACCCAGAACCAAGCTCACCCCTAAAGACTCCGCCCCTCAGCTCGACTGAGACTTTGGATACCACTAACTAGCACACCTGAGTCTCCGACTGCTTCACGGCATGCCTAGGAATCCGAACTCTATCCACCAGCATACACCGGGACCCGGATTCCACTTCCGGGCCCAAGGCCCGCCCAGAGCGTGGTTTACAAGCGGGACTGTTCCCCACCATGCTGTGGGTTTGGGGTTCCATCTCCCGCGGTGTTCTCGATAGGACTACATCTCCCAGCATTCCCAGGGGCGGCCTGTTATCACCTGGAAAGGGTCCTTGCAGCTGCTGCAAATTCCCCAAGATTTTCTGGCTCAGGAGATGGATGAGGCGGGTCACAACCTGGGGCGTTGGGGACCGGCGGTCCAGTGAGACTACAGCAGCAACTGTGCGAGTCCCACTTTCCCTCCTCTTACTGGGTCCTGGTCCCCAAAGCCCCGCACTCAGTGGGCGGGCGGCTTCGCCTCCTTCCTATGGTTCCACCCCCTGGCGCCCCGCCCCTGTGAGGCCAGCCCAGGACGCGTCCACCAGTACCTGCGGGTATCGGCGTTTGATGTGGCCCAGGGTGCCCTCGGGGAGTTTGGCCAGCTCTGTGTCACGCACAGCGTGCACTGTCGTAGCGCGTGGCTGCCGTGTCAGCGCCTCCACCTGGGGGCCCATGTGTATGACTAGGGCTGCTTGAGCGAGGAGGCCCCGGAAAGGTAAGTGGGAGGTTGACCATGGGTGCAGAGAAGCAGTGGTACCCAGTCTCCAAGAGGGAGATGGCGAAAACCAAAGCTTCACTACCCACTAGGGTTCTGTGGAGTGGGAGAGGTCAGGCATCCACCCCAGGCGGGGGTCTCCTCCACTGATGAAGAAAGGTCTGGGGGCAGAGTCAGATCAGACTCACTACGCAATGAGCTTGCCCCTGATCCCGGCCCTACGAAAGGATCTGGGGAAAGTGGATGGGCGAGGTCAGAAGTCGGGGCCTCCGCATCATCTGATGACCGGGAATGTGTTTGTTGGGAGGAGCGGGGAAAATGGCCTTGGAGGAGATCAGAGGACACAAGTGGGGCGTTGCTTACCACCCCGATGAGATCTCCACGGCCGTACTCGCCCACCAGCTCCTTTTTGCCATTGCCTCGCTGGATGACACTACGCAGCCGCCCATTCAGCACGATGTAGGTGCAGTCTGAGCGGTCACCCTGCCTGGGGTGTGGGGTGGGTCAGAAGGGTCAGGGCCTGGGCCTAGGCAGGGCCTAAATGGCAAGTTGGAGGCGAGGGCTGCACCTGTACAGCGCGCGTCCCGCCTCCACCGCAGTCCAGTCGATTGCGAAGTCCATCTGGCGCACGAAGGGCGACATCCTTGCTGCCACTGTGTGCGCGGCACTCAATACCACACTAGGCTGTGCGCGCATAATCCTGTAGGGGAATCATGTACTGGGCGTGGCCCGAAATAGCTCTTAGGGAGTGGAGACAGCAGGTGAGAGCCTGGAGGGCAGTAAGTGGGGCTGGAAGGGCTTAAATCTGCCCCAGAAAGGCGTCTGGGCTTGCAGAGGGATAACCTTTCCCTGGGCAGAAGAGTTGGCTTATGACCCTCCAGTGCCCCTCCCACCCAACAATGGGCCCTGCCATACTCATAAAAGTCCGACTTGGAGATCCGCAGGAAAGTGCAGTCGCGCTGGGCTCGTAGGGTGAAGATGAGGGGCTCTCCAGTGAGCACTGCCAGCTGTCCCACCAGCTCCCCAGGCTGGGCCACGAACAGGCACACGTCCTCAGCCTTGTCAATCATGCGCTGGTAGACATGCAGGCAGCCCCAGAGCACAAAGTGCAGGCTAACGTCCTGTGGGACAGGGGCCAGGAGCTGGGCACAGGGGCAACACTCCTATCCCCAACTCAGATCAATATCCTCCATAGGAAAGGTTAAGGACAAGTTAGGGGAGGCAGTGAAGGCTTTGGATTGCTCTGAGCTGAGCAGCATGTTTATATTACTATTCGGCACCTGGGGCAGACATTGCTAATGGATCACCAAACTGAGCTCATGCAGAAGCCCATGAATTCTTTTCAACATAGCCAGCAAGAAGCTGCAATGGCTGGCTACACTGGGCCGAGGCTGAGCTTAAATTGTCTTTGCTTGTATTGGGCAACTGGACAGCCACATGGCCCTTACCTTATACTATGTCAAAATGGATCAAAGCCATGGTAGGAGCTAAAACAATACAATTGTTGTAAGAAAATAGAGACGCCAGTCTTCATGATCTTGAATTTGGCAATGGAGTCTTGGATATGACATCAAAACATGAAGAGCAAAAGAAAGTAGATAAATTGGACTTAATCAAAACTAAAAATGTTTGAAAAGACGACACATAGAATGGGTGAAAATATTTGCAAATCATGCATCTGCTATGAGTCTTGTATACAGAATATATGATTCTTACAACTCAGTAATAAAAAGACAATTCAAAAAGAGCACAAAAGCTCTCAACAGACACTTCTTCAAAGAAGATTTACGAAAGGCCAATAGGCACGTGAAAAAATGCTCAAAATCATTAGTCATTAGGGAAATGCAAATCAAAACCATAATGAGATGCCATGTCATATGTACTAAGATGTCTAGAATTAGAAAGTGTTGGATGGGACACAGATAAATTGGAAGGCTCACACACTGCAAGTGGGAATGGAACGGTGCAGCCGCTTCAGAAAAGAGTCTGGCTACAGCCCAAAACAGTCTGCAGAGTGAAAGACACAGTTGCCTGTGACCCAGGATTTAACTCCTGGATATATATACCCAACACAAATGGAAACATACATCCCATAAAAATTTGTACAAGAACATTCAGAGCAGCATTACACCTAATAGCCAAAAGGTGGAAATCACTCAACTGTCCATCAAGTGATGAATGTGGTAGACAGATACAACCAATTATTCAGTCAAAAAGGAGTGATGCACCAACACTGATGTAGCTGGAAAACCTCATGCTCAGTGAGAGAGGCCAGGGGCAAAGGGACAGAGCATGTGATTCCATTTATATGTAGTGTCTAGGACAGGCAAATCTATAGGAACACAAGATTAGGAATTGCTTAAGGCTGTTGGGGATGGTGATCCATTAATAATGTCTGCCTTGGGGGCTTAACACGAATATAGATATATGTGCTGCTCAGCTCAGAAGTAGGAGGTTGATAACTAAAGGATATGAGATTTCTTCATGAGGTCATGAAAGTGTTCTAAAATCGATAGTGGTGATGGTTGTACAATTCTGTGAATGTACAAAAAAACCACTGAATTGTACTCTCCTGGGTGAATTGCATTGTATGTGAATTGCATCTCTATAAAACTACCACTGAGAAATATTTAAAAATCCCCTTTGCCCCTGGCTCCCTTGTGCCACCCCATCCCTGTCGACTTCTTTTGTTTCCTAGAGATCAACCTCTCTTCTCACCACAGGATATTTGCACAAGCTATTTCCTAGAAAGCTCTTTCCTCCCCCTTGCACCAATTGGTCAATCCTTCCCCACCTTTCCTCCTCAGCTGGAGGCCACTTCTGCAGAGGCGCTGCCCTGCCTAAGACAGATTTTGTAGAGCTGAGAACATCTTACATGTAAGCACTGAGCACATAACGATTTTACAAGAATTTGTGTAATCCTCTGAGTGTAACATTTGTCAGAACTGTGGGTTTCCCCAGGGCAGGGACGCTATAGGTGTTTCCTGCCTCTGGGGCAGGCAGCACACAGGGGACCCAGCAAACTCAGTATATGTGCGTGCCCCTCTCCTCTAGGGTTGGCCTGCCCAGCCAGACACCCATCTGTTCCATGTTTTTATGAATGAGAAACTGAAACTTCCCAGAGACAGACTCCTTCCTCATGCAACCCATAAACCCGTCTGGTACCCCACAAAGCCTCAGTGAGCACCGGAACACTGTGGGGACCCCCTGAGAAGGGGCCCCAGGAGACAGATACGCATGCTGGAAGTTTCCAAGACAGAATTTCCAGACCATTGTTTAGAATATAAGTGGGAGTTACTAATATTAGGCTGACACTCGTCATATTGGGAAGCATGCTTGTTCACTGCAGGACTTCTCAAGAGCCTTGAATACACTCATAATACTCACTAAAAGCTTTCATGAAGGGATAAAACAAACAGCAGTACCCAAACCTATTTGACCATTGTGATAAAGGTGTTCCATGAAACACACTTTGGGAAACATTTGTATAAAGCAGAGTTTCCCAACCTTGGCACTACTGACATTGTGAACTAGGTAATTCTTTGCGGCAGGGGCTATCCTATGCATTCTTGCATCTCTGGCCTCTGCTCACTAAGTAGCAACCCTGCAAATCAATAAAAGTCTCTGCTTTGCCACATGTCCCCTGGGGAGGGGGGCAAAAGTGCCCCCTGTTGAAAACCACTGGTGTTAAATTTCAAAAGAAGGCATAGCAAAGTAATGTCCCTAACAAAGTCCTGAGGGCCCAAGGAGCCTCAAGTAGCTGCAGATCTGCTTGGCCCATTAGCAGGCTGGGCGGCTGGGCTGAGCCCAAGTTTCCCAAATAAGTAAGGATCCAGGGGCCCCCTGCAAAAGCCATGGTGTGACCACACTGCCTCAACCTGCCTGTCCCCCAAATACCACAAACAGCTGGCAGAAGCTCCACCCAACTTCCTCTGCAGAAAAGAGTGCACCCTTTTGAAGTGATAGTTGAATCCACTGGTCAAATGACAGAATGATATCCCAGCCAGATAACAGGAAAGCCACCCCCACGCCAACCTCTGTTCCAGCCCAGGGCTGGTCATCCTTGTAAACCCTAGGCAGCTCAGAGCCATCTCCACGTTAATCCTCGCAACAATCCTAGTCAACTGTTAGCACCTCCATTCCCTAGATGAGAAAGCTGAGAACTTTCTGGATGATTCAGCCAAGGTCACACAGGGTGTCAGGGCAGTGTCTGCACTTCAACTTCGGCCCCCTCTGTCCAGAACCCTCCCCTGTGCTTCTGGACTACGAGACCATGAGTAGGTCTCAGCTTCCCATTTGGAGAATGTAGGGAACTGGGATACAATTTGCTGCCCCTTCTGGGTGCTGCTGGAAGGCAGTGAAAGCCAGCTCCTGGGGCTGGTTCACGGCCTCACGTCCAGATTCTGATCTGCACACATCTACCGAGCTCCCATCCTGGAAGGGACCCAGGACTGGAGTCGACAAAGAGCTTCCGAGCATAGAGCTGGACTGAAAGGCCAGAAAACAGAAGTTGCATGAAAGGCCAGGGCAGGGAAGAGAGATCTAGGGGTTGGGGCCCTAAGGTAAAAGGCTCAGGGATTGTAGGTGAAAGGTCAATAGGTCCGAAGGACATGGGGCAGGAGGGCTGAGGGTCAGAGTAAGAGGTTCTGAGGGTCAGGGGTTGGAAAGCATAGACTGAGATATCTACACATAGGGTCACAATGCAAGGGTCAGAGATCAGAGAGGTCTTGGGTTAGAGTTGCATGATTAGAGGTCAGGGGTCAGTCTCACCTGGTCCCCCTGGCGGGCAATGATGGTGCCAGCTTTGGCATGATGCAGTAAGACCCGGCTGTTCAGGAGAGCAGGGTCCTGGGGAGGAAGAAAGGTGAGACTTGCCCAGCCAGGCTTCCCGACCCCCAGTTCCATCCCCAAGGCCCCCTCAGCCACCCACCTCAATCCGCATCAGCTTGGCCAGCTCCCGCTTCGCTGCCTCAAAGATGCTGCTTGTCTGGCGGCCCTGGTAGGGCCCGAAGGGGCAGCCACCGGTGGCTGACTCGTCTTCACAGAAGTTGCTGGCTTCCGTGTACTCACAGGCACCTGCTGGCTGCTCCCGGGGTTCCTGAGTGGGGGACTGAATGGGGCAAGGCCTGTGATCTCTGTGCTCCTACCTGACCTTCCTCCTCAGGGGAGTCCACCACCGGCCAGTGGCCTGGGAGGGCACAGGGAGGGGTAGGGAGAAGGCAGGGCCTTACCCGAGCCAGCACTGCCTGGGGCCCCCCTGAGGCCTCTTCCTGAAGGGACACGGAGATTCGGCCCCGTTCATATGCCATGTCAAAGTCTGAGCGGGGGACACCTTGCAAGCCTGTGGTGGGCAAGGGGCCATAAAAGCAATAAAGATGAGAGTGGCCCCAGCTGACCTCCCTGCTGAGTGCCATATCCATGCAGACATGACTAATCAATCACTGCACTCTCCCTTGGAATCCCCGCCACAGCTGGGAGAACACCATCTCCGTGAGCACCCACAAAAAGCCACGAGAGAAAGTGTTGCCAGGGTTCCCATTTCACAGGGGAGAAAAATCAAGATTGGCAGGCCTGCATTCAAACCCAGAAGCTTGATTGCTGCCCCCTCTCTATCCGGTGCCCCAAACCTGAGATGTCCACTGGCATGGAGATGCAGCGACTCAGCAGGGGGGCAGATGGGGCTTCCAGGGACGTAGGCTTCACTGGGTTCCCTGGGGAAGACATGTGTTCAGGCACCCACCCCTCAGAGCGCCAGGCCGAGACCTCAGTTTGGGGTGGGGGGGTCTGACAGGAGTCTGGGAGGGGTCCAAGCCCCCGAGGCCTGGAGGACCAGGCAAAGTTATTGCAATGGCTCTCAGGGGCTGGGGCCAGATGTCCCTGGGGGAATGGGCAGGGGCAGGCAGGAGTCTCTGAGGAACGGAGAGAGAGACTGGGAGGCAGAGGCGGGGAGAGGCCCAGGCAGGGGTCACCTCAGCTACCTGCAGGTCCAGGCAGTGGGGCCCCGGTGGGGTCTGGTGGCCGGCCAGGGGTCTCCCTTGGCTCTTCGATAGCCGAGGTGCTGGCCGCCGACTTGGAACCACGCACCGGGCTTGTGCGGGCTGGGAGGCCGGGGCTGGGGAAGAGGCGCAGTGGCTGGATCTCCTGGGGGCAGAGAGCACCCTCGCAGCGAGTCTCCCGAGGCACGGGACACACCCCCACCCGCCCAGCCCCCTGGGCCTCCTGTGCAACCCACGTGGCTGAACAGCTCGTTGGTCAGGCCCAGGTAGTTGTGAAGCGCCAGGAAGGTGACCCGCTGCAGCCTCACCATGATGATCTGCGGAGGCGGGAACAGGGGGCTGCTTTGAGGGGCGTGGCCACAATGGATGGCGCCAAGGACCAAAGGGTGAGCCCGGTGAAAGTTGAAACAAAGCAGTTAAGGGGGTGAGAGGCCAGGATGGGAAGCAGGGAAACAGGAGATGGGGCAGAGCGAAGGTCAAGGTCAGGAGCAGTAAGGGGCTGCAGGGACAGGAAGGGAGCAGGGAGACATCCACAATCACGTGACAGAAGCCTAGGGGCGGGGGTGGGGGAGCGGAGATGCCTAATGGGAGGAGTCAAGGAGGCCCCAGGCGGCTGTTTGGGCAGATAAGCACAGCTTGAGCTCCTGCTGGCTGCGGAGTCCCGGCCCCCCCTGGGGTCGGTGGAAGAAGGTCAAAGGCCGCTGACCTGCACCACGCGCACCAGGCTCTCGGGGTACTTGGTGAAGACGGTGGAGAAGGCCTCCACCGGCAGCCGCAGCACTGTGGAGTCGCGGGCAGCCCGGGCAGACACGGTCCGCTGGGGGTGCTGGTGACCCTGGGAGGTGGGGGAATGGGAAGAATCAAGGGCAGGGGTTGTAGCTTTCCCATTGCCCCCTCCAACCCTTCTCGACAGACCACCCACAACCTCAGGGACCTGTCAGGGATTGGGGCCCTCCAGGTGACCTCTCCAACCCAGCCCACTGGGTATGTCCTTGAACCCAGCCTCCCTGCCCCCCACACCAACTGGTCACTCACAGTGATGACATCCAGGATGCTCAAAAGGCTGTTGACGCTGTCCCCGGGGACCACTTCCTTCACTACACACTCCTTCCCGTCCTGAGAATGGTGGGGGGCCGCTGACCAGGGCTGCCTTGGCACTGCCAATGGGAAGTCCGCCCCCTGATCGTGCCACTGGCCCTCACCCTCACCCACCCGGTGATCACTGACCCTCGATCCCAGAACCCTGCGGTCATAACGACGAGCATCCTCTTCCTGGCCGTCACTAACTGTGACCGTGGACCACTTCAGACACCCTTGGGCATCTGTTCCTGACTCCTGCCGACACATCTCAGAAGACCTTCAACCCTCCTGACCCAAGGACTGCTACCCTTGGGGAGGTCCACTCACAGGTCCTGGCAAACAGAGCTCCAGCAGCCCCTCCTGCACCACGTAGATGCTGGCGTCTGGCTGGCCCGGCCGGAGGACATAGTCACCCTGGCTGAGCCGCTGGAAGACCATGTGTCGGCAGAGCTCCAGGAAGAGCGGCTTCTCGAAGTGGCCCAGCACCCTGTTGGAGGGGGAAAGGGGAGGGGCAACTAAGCCGGTCAGGTCAGGTCCCCGATTCTGCAGCCCCCCGCCTGCACCCTGATACTGACCGGACATTCTTGAGCATGTAGAGCACCTCAGAGGGCAGGTGGGAGTTGGCCAGGTCACCCTCCGTCAGGTCAGCCTCCAGCACTGAGGGTGGGGGCTCCTTCCGCTGCAGTGTGGGAGCTTCTTTCTGGATGCGCAGGATTCTGGTAGGAGAAGGGTGCAGGGGGGCGCAGAGAGAGGACTCAGGCAGGCCTGGGACTCCCACAGAGCCTTCCCCTCCAGGCTCACAAAGAACAGGGGTCAGGAAATTCTGGCCTTACACTGGTTTTTATAAATAAAGTTTTATTGGCACACAACCATGTTCATTCACTTAATTATTGTCTGTGACCACTTTCACTCAACAGCAGAGTTGATTTGTTACAACATAGTTGTTACAACACATCTTAGGCCTTCAAAGCCCAAGATATGTACTATATGGCACTTCACACAAGAAGTTTGCTGACCTCTGATGCAAAACCCTGAATTCGCTCCTTCGCTAGTCACAGGCCGCTGAGATCACCCTGCAGTTAGGCAGACCCCTGACATACTTCCAAGATGTGGACAGACCCCAGAAACAGCACCTCTGCCCATCATGGAAGCCCTGAGCCAGTCTTGCCAGTAACTGCAGCTTTACTCCTCAAACTCTCCCTACTGTAGACAGACCCTAGAAGTAGCTTCTGATACATGAAGGGACCCCAGATACAGCCTAGAATGTTCTTTGTGAAGATCCCTGGGATAGTCTTTCCTCCTACGTTACATAAAAACATGAGCTAGCCCCTCTGATGGTCAGAAGACTCTTGACACCAACCACTGTAGTAGGAGCAGACCCGAGTCCAACGCCACGATATAGAGAAGTCCAGATATAGCTCCTCTCCTGATCAGGGAGGTCCCTGGGCCAGCCCTTGCCCAGGTCAAAGGGAGCTGAGATGCCATGTGAAGGTCATGGTACCAAGGCAGCTCCTACAGGGCAGGCGGACACTGAGATAGCCCCCATGATGTGGGGGGACATGACAATTCAGAGGCAGCCCTCCTGCCCAAACCATAAAAAGCTGTGTGATAGCACATGTAACAAATCTGCTGATCACAGGCAGCCCTGGGATGACCCCTTAGTGTGAAAACATGCTTGAGACATTCAAGTAGGCCCCATGAGGTCAGGAGACCCCCGAGTCAGCTCCCCACTTAGAAGGATCCCTGGGAGAGCCTTTCTCAGATTTCCTGATGTAACCCTTGGACCCCTGACATGTCCTTCCTATGTTTCTAGTGCAAGAAGATTCCTGAAGCAACTCCTGGGAGAACAGAAGCCCTTGAGCTGGCTTCTTAGAGTGGGAAGAACTCCAAGGTAGGGGACATAGAGAGATGCTTTCTGATGTAGAGAGATTGCTGAGATAAAACCTACAGAACAAAAGCTAGAGATAGCCCCCCAGAAGATAAGAGACATTTGAGATTTTCCCAGTCTGGCACTTCTCGTGTGGGGAGACACAGGGAGTAGTCTGCACGGGAACCCCAGATGTAGACCCTTACATGAATGACAATGTGTCTGACATACTGATGGAGACCAAATAACAGAGATACCCATGCGGCAGGGAAACATCATTGAGATAGCCCCTTAGCGGGCAGAGACCCCAGAGACACCCTGTCCAGTGGGACATCTCTGAGAAGGTGCCTCTGATGTGGGAAGACTACCAAAACAGTCTGTGGGGTTCAAAGAACCCAGAGATACACCCTTCAGTGTGTGCAGATCACTCCAAAGGCCCCTGAGATAGCTCCCAAAGCCAGGTCCACCCAGCACAGCCTTACTTCTTGGCAATGTTGAGCATTTTAAGTTTCTTCTTCATGCGTGGCCGGGAAGTGGTGGAGACGGAGGCATCCACCAGGGAGGAAGTGGATTGTGATACCTGGGAAGATTAAGGATAGGAGAAGGATCAACTGCCAGTTCAGACCTTCGGGAAGAGTGGGGGAGACCCAGAGGTGCTTAATCAAGGAAGGTGGTGGGCTTACTGAGATATGTAACAAGGAAACGGGCAGGGCCTCGGTATGGTCAGCGGCGCCCCAGGGGGTCCTAGACTCACCTTCCGCATAATCTTACGACCATAGAAAAGCACTTTGTCCCTCTTCCGGAATCGATACCGCGGTCCATCCGGAGCTGGAGTTTCTGGGATCAGTGGGGAGAGGGTGACTCTGAGCACTGCGCAGACTCCACCAGATCGGAGTGCCGCAAACCGCGTCTCTACTACCTCAGGGACGCGAGCATTCCAGCTCCCCACCCTGCAGCCTTCCCAGAGGGGCCCTCCGGGTCCTCACTCGGCACGCGAAGCCTCCGCGCCAGCAGGAGGATGAGCACGGCCGTGACCACCGCAACTCCGGCCCCAATCATCACGCCCAACACCTGCGGGACGAAAGGCACTGGCTGCGCATCGCATACCCGCCCCACCGAGCCCTCCCTGGGGGCCAGGACGCCCCATGCCCCATCCCACTCCGTCAAGTTCGCCCCCAAGGAGGTGCCAGTTGGGCCAGGCCTCGATATCCCCATCAGCAGGATGGGCTGGCGTGGCTCCCTCCCTGGGGGCGAAACTCTTCCCAACGGCTCGGCGGCCGGTGATGCACGCCGGGAAACGTAGTAACGCCTGCACAGACGCAGCCGAGTTCTCGCGGGACCGCATGGTGTGCGCTGAGCATGTCGGGATTAGTAGTCCTCGCAGTGCTACACACCCACCAGCCCTTACCATTCCTGTTTGCAGCGGAGCCTCCATCGGATGCTTCAGGGTGGGCGGCAGGTCTGGAAGTCTGGAGTCTTGGGGAAATGCGGGGCAGGAGGAACCCGTGCAAGTCTTCACTGTGGGCCCGCCCCTCCTCTGCCGCAAGCCCTGCCCCTCAGCACAAGCCCTTGCCTCTTAGTACCCGCCGGTCTGGGGACCGCTTGGGGGGCGCTGCGGAGTAGAGGGGTGGGGCAGGTTGATCTCGCGGCCCATTCTTGGGAGTGAGACTGGTCCTCGGCTTCCCGCCTGGCTCCCTTCACCAGGCCTACCTGTCCAGACCCACCTTGGGGCCAAAGGACAACCGGCGGGACACCCACTGTCAGCAGCCAGCGCTGCTGTGGGTCTTCGAAGGGCACGGATCCCTCCCACAAGTGGCCCTCTCCCCGGCTTCTAATCTGAGGGATTGATTAATCCTGACCCACTGAACCTTAGGCCGCACTCCCGTACCCCAGCCGAAAACTGAGGCCCGCAAGCCAGGGGGTCAGGGAGACGCCCGGCTCCCAGCCCAAACCTGACCCCGGAAGTGCTGCCGGGAGCTGCCACACTGGGGTCCTGGGGCGCGGCCGAGGTGTCGGAAGGACCCTGAGACGCTCGGAGTGGGGTGGGCTCTCAAGGTGTTCCTGGTTAATGCTGGAGATTTACTGTCTCGTTTTAGTAAAGTTATTGGGTCTCTGGCAGTGCGGAGCATCACTGGGACGTCGAGAGCGATGCTGGAGCCATTGCTGGGAGACGTAACCAGACACGCTGGGATCAAGGGTGGGGGGTGGGGGGTCACTGGAAACTTACTGATTCTGAGGAATACTGGACTGTTACCAAGAAAACCGGGAGCTGAGTGGGCACGTCCCTCGGGTCGTTCGAGCGGGCCTAGGGAGGAATGCTGGAATATTACTTGGACTTTTCTGGCAGGCTGAGGATGTGGCGCCGCTAGAATACTAACGGAAATTTGGGGGACTCACTGGGCCCTTGAAACATTACCTGGAAAATTCATGGGGACTAGTCCCCTCTTCCACCCTAGGGTACACCTGGCTACCGGAGCGTAAACACCTGCTGGCAACTGGGGGACGGGAGCATCAGAAAGTCGGGGACTACCGGGAATCGGAGGAGGACAGATGTGGGAAAGCTGAGGGCTCGCTAATGACTCCCGAAGGGCCGCGGACGCCTGTGAAGACGCGACAGAAACCCGGACTCACCCACGGGCCGCAGCCGGGGTCCACTCTGCGTCAATACCGCCGGCGTTCAGCCCGGGACCGCTGGTGCGGCCCCTTTAAATTATTTGCCGTAGGGCGCGCCGCGGCCCCGCCCCCCGCCATCTTCGGAAGGTCGCACTTCTTAAAGAGACAGGAGACCAGTTGCGCAGGAAACGCCCCTCCCGCTAAAAATGAGAACGAGTTAATTTCTCCTGTTTATTTAACCCACCCCAGTGTCCGACGCGGTGGTCCGGTCCCTCAGGGCGCGGAAGGGCACCGGTTTTTAAAAGCAACCCCTAAAAATAAATAAGTGCGGTTTCCGCAGTCAGGGAGCTAATGCCCAGTGGCAGTCGTGGTTTGCGTCAATTCACCAGCAGCGAACGTTCCTCCGAGGCTTGCCTGGAGGAGGGTCGGTGTCAGCGGCGGCGGAGGGTTGCAGTTCTTTCCGACATGCGCCCCTTCCCCCAGAGCCACCCGACCGGGACTGGGTACTCGGGATTCGAACCTGCCGCAGCAGCACAGGAGGCTGCAGGCCGAGCCGCTCCCACGGCGGAACTTGCCGGAGGTGGGGCTGTCCTGGCACTGAGCGATGTAGGCCTGGAGCTCGCTCTGCTTTGTACCGGCACCGCCCGGGTGCTGCGGAGAGAGGAGGGTGGCCCATCATCAAAGGGGCCCCTTGGTGTCTGCCCTGCCCTGCCCTCCAGCCCTCCCTCCCGGTGCCCTCACTTTTCATCCTCCACCAACCAGGCCCCCACCTCTGGGGCTTTGCACTTGCTGTGCCCACCACTTTTTGCTCCTCACGGTTTGCTTCACAAGGAGGCATTCTCTTACCTTGAATGTGTGTACACCCCGCTTCTTGGTCACTTGGTGCCCTCTGCTGCAGCGCCAGTGCTTAAGAGTCATGCCTAACTCAATCTGGGTAATTTATAGCCACCTACTAAGTTTGCACACAGTGGGAGCAAGGTCTGGGCTTGTACATCCAAGGCTGATAGGCGTCACGTTTAAGTGCCGGAGCAAGACCCATGGGGACACCAAGGGCCAGAGTGACAGGAGTGTGTCTGTGGGGTGGCTGTACCCGGGCACGGGGTGGGGAATGTATACATCTGCGTTCCAGCCTGAGTGAAGTTCTAGCTTTCAGAGGAGCCTGTGTCCCCCTCCCCATCCCACGGAAGGGCAACCATCTCTTCCCCAAGTCCTTCCCGGCCCCTAGGCGTTTCCTTTGGCTGCTCCTTTTCCCTGGGGCTCAGTCTCATCAATCCAGAACTTTCTGGGAGGATGGAAATTTGGATATTTATGCTGTCCAATCTGGTAGACACTAGCTTCACTGGCTTTGACCACTTGATATGTGGGTGGCTGGTGTGAATGAAGAACTGGGTTTGGAAGTGTATTTCATTAAAGTCAAAATTTAGTCACATGTGGCGAGAGACTAGTGTTGGGCACACATTCCAGAAACCTTCCTGGCCGCACTGCACCACAAGTCTGAAGCAGGGGGTCCCTCTGTGACCTTCCATATTTGTTAATACCGCTTACCTATTGGCCCCCTGTTCCTGCATCAGTATCAGCCGTCCTGCCCACGGGTCGTGGACAGACCACGTGTGCCTTGCTTCCTAGATGCTCAGTGCCCGGCACAGGGCTGGTCCCCAACAGGCCCTTGGACATGTTTGCCTAAAGAAATCTGTCTACCTGCCACACCATATTCTTCTCTGACCCCTTCTCTTCCTGACCCCCAAAGCCTGTAGAACAACCCAAACCAAACAGCCCCTGCCCGGCCCCACCCCCAGGATGATCACACTGTCCACTTAGTACCTGACGCTGGCCAAGTCACTCCAACTACGGTTTGGTTTCCCTATTTGCAAAAGCCAGGTGTGGGACCCCCACCTGGCTGGAGCCCCATCTTGAAAAAACCAGGGCTGCAACAGCTGTGACCAGGATGCTATCAGGCCTGCCCCCGCCCCCGGCACTGAGCCACCCCTCCTTTGGCTTTGCAGCATCTCCCACATTCTCCCCCTGGGTCCTCTCCTCACACTGCTGTGTCCCCACAGACCCGGTGGTGGCCGGTGCAGAAGGGCCCGGAGCCCGAGTTCAGGGCTGAGTGTGTGTGTGTCGGGGTTGGCCAGGTGGGAGAGGCTGTACAGGCCAGCAGCTGACCTTGATGGTGTCGTAGGCGCCGGTGATGAGCGCGATGAAGAGGCTCAGCACCATGTAGATGAAGAGGCTGATGAAGGAGTAGAGGTAGAGCTGGGAGAAGAGCCAGACGAGGCTGCTGCGGCCTTGCTGAGCCTGCATCGCGGCGAACGTCACAAACATGTCGTCCCCGTTGATGAGCGAGAATAGGCACTCTGACACCATGGACAGCGAGCGGAACTGCCGGCCAGGCAGCAGGGTGAATGGGGTTACGGGGTCAGGGGGAGCCGAGGGCAGGGCTGGGGGCAGGGCGGGTCACCACAAGTCAGCAGGGGCAGTGGACGGAACTGCTGTCGACCTGCTGGTGAGGTACCAGGGGCTGAGGTGGGTCATACAGTGTCCCCCAGTCCATGCTAGACAGACCAGGGGTCAGAGGGTTTAAGAAGTGGTCCTGCAGGAGCCAGGGGCCCCTTGATGGGGTCATGAGCACCCCCGCACCCCCAGCCAGCCCCTACCTTCATATGATAGGGCCCCAACACAATCCAGCCACAGAAGCAATAGCCCAGGTAGATGACAGCCACACAGCAGCAGAAGCGCATGACACTGGGCAGGGCCACCCGCAGCGTGGCAATGAGGATCTGCAGCAGGCAGATGGGGGCCAAGATGAAGGTGGGGGGCCCCTGTACCACCTGTACCTGGGGCCACTACATGGCTGGACTCGGTTGGGTGGGTATGAAGGGGCCGGCTCCCGTGGCCTCCTGTCCAGGCGTGGTGACAGGAATGTCTGGGGTGGGCAGGTATGGGAAGGGACTCATGACAGGCCACTTACAGTGGCTGGTGATCGCTTTCCTGTGTATGAATGTATTCAGAGGGTGGGAACTGGGGAGCAGGGGCCTGGCCAGCACGTGGGAGGCTTACATTGTACTTATGGAAGAAGGTCAGGTAGCGGATGACGCCGACCCAGACAAGCAGCGTTGAGGTGCCCAGGAGGATGCTACAGACATCATAGCTTGCCAGGTTCTACGGGCGGGATCAGCGTCACCCCTCCTGGCCTGGCCCTTCCGGGGCACTGTGGCCCCAGACAGGCATCAGTGAGTCTGAGATCTGGAAGATGTCAGACTTCCCAGCAGGGATTGGGCAGGACCCACCTTGGCTTCAATGCCTATCTTCATGATAGTGCCCGAGATGGTGAGCACGTCGCTGGTGACCAGCAGGATGTACCAGCCATTGACAAATTCCAGCCGGTCCCACGGGTTGATGACCTGTCCCCGCTGCCGCCACATGAACCTGACAAACTCCTGCAGGACACAGGCGGGGTGAGGACACATCCAGGCACAGGACACTCCCACCACCGCCCCTACCCCACTCCCAAAGGCCCGCCCTTGTCGCCCCGGAGTGGGCGAGGCTGGCTCGGTGCGTGGGCAGTGCTGGGGGTGGCTCACGTTCTGTAGCAGGAAGCCACGGAGCAGGGAGCGGGCACACAGCAGGAAGGAGAAGGAGCAGGTGAGGATCACGACCACATCAAACAGGAGCCGGAAGCTGTTGTCTCCTGTGGGGAGGGGGCTCCGGTAGGGCCAGGCCTAGGGGGCTGCAGGGCTGGTTTGTGCTGGTCAATGGGCTCATGGGTCACTCTGGGTGAGTTGGAAGCTCAGTCCCCACTGGTCTGGGGCTTGGGGATCCCTGGGTATGTTGGGACCCCTGGTTGGTACTTGTCTGGGGCTTGGGGGCTCACCATGCCCGAAGACACTGGGGTGCTTACACTCCTGGATGTGGGCCTGGGTCTCCAGGCTGATGGGGATACGCCCGCTGTGGGCCTTATTGTCAAATGTGATCTGCAGGGGTATGGTGGGACAGGAGGGGATAGAGTGAACCTTGGCAGGCCTGGGCTCCCAGACCTGCAGGAGTGGTGGTCTCTGGGGCCCCAGACTACCCCAGCAGCCCCATGGCAGGCCAAGGGTCCCTACCCCCCGACTCAGAGCCTTGCGGGCCCCCACTGCCGTCACCCTGGACACCGTGGGCTCACCAGGACGTGGAAGGTATAGCAGTCTGGGATCTCATTGTTGATAAGGCTCTGGAGGTTGATGGTCTTTAGCTGGAAGTGGATGGTGACGTTGATCAGCCTGCAGTGAGGAGGCTTGGGTAAGGGGCTCTGCCAGGCCCTCCTGGCACCTGAGGGGCAGCGCGCCTGCCCCACTGACTTTGCAGCTGGCAGAGGAAGCGCTCCCATGACAGGGGTCAGCATGAGGTCTCCAGAGCCCCTGCCTGCAGGGAAGTGGTTGCCAGGGCCCAGGACACGTGCTGTCTTGCCTCCCCAGCCCTCAGCCCAGCACTGGAGCGGCCCCTCCATCAACTGGGCAGTACTTGTGGAATTTGAGCGTGAGGTTCTTGTAACTGGTGCTGCCATCCGAGAGAAAGAGGTCATCGCTGGGGGGCACAAGGGGTCTCTCAGGGGGGTCCACCCGGATGCAGTCTGAGGACAGGGAGGCAGAGAAGGGATGCTGGGGTTGAGGGGGACACAGTCTCCCCAGGGTCCCCGACAGTTGCTTCCCTACTCTGTTTCCCACTTTGTACATGAATATTTATTGCTCGTTTCCTCCTGTCTCCTGCTGGGTAGGGCCTGGTCTTATTCCCTACAGACCACAGGGCCCCCAAATGTTTAGTGAGTTATTGATATTAAAATGTAAGGCCCGGCTCTTTCTTCATGCCAAGAATTCCACCAAGTACACTGCATACAGTGGATTATTAACTGACATCCCCCCCTCCCAGACGAGCAGGCAGAACTAGGGGGTTGATCTCCCCAGCCTGAGCTCCCAACTACACCCTGCCTGCATCACTCACCAGTGACGACCATTGGGTCAATGTCAAAAGTGTCATTGGCTGGGTCCACGTGGCCCCGGTGGTAGTACTGCTGGCAGAGGGCCAGAGCTGAGCCATTGGCCCAGGGGCCGCCCCCACCCGGCACATAGGCATACTGGCCCAGCGACACATCGGGGAGCAGCAAGTACTGTGGGCAGAAAGGGGAGGGGTCCATCAGCCCTGCCTGCTTTCCCCTGCCCGCCTGCCCACATGCCCACATTCCCCTGGCCACCCGCACCTGGTCCACAGCGTAGAAGATGGCCTGGTACAGCTGCTCCCGCGTGTAGGCCGCGAAGGTGTCATCTGCCCCATCTGAGTAGCCCAGGAGGAAGAGGTGCCGGAAGGCGACAGTGTTCTCCTCCCTGAATGTCACTGCCAGCTGGTTGCTGAGCCCGAACAGGATGAGCTGGTGGGAGGGACAGGGAGAGGTTGATGCTGCTGGGGTGGGGCCTCCCTTGGGGTAGAAGTGGAAGAGAGAGAGGACTTCCACTTGCTGAGGACACACGCCCCATCTGCCCTGCCCACCACACGTTCCCCATGAGCCGCACGCAGGGGAGCTCACCTGCCTCACAAGAGCAGCAAATGTTTATTGAATGTGGACCAAGTGCCGGGTTCTGTGCCGAACCCCAACCTACAGGTAAGTACTACTATGGGGCCCCTTTCCCGAGGGGAAGTGATGAGTGTGCTAATGTGCCAGAGCCTTAGAACACACCAGCAGCAATGCTGGGCAGGGGCTGGGTCTGATGCATCTGGGGGTCCCCAGAGCCCAGCACAGGATCTGGCATGGGAACGGGAGGCAACTAATCTGTCTAAGCCACTGGGTTGGTTCTCTTTGAGAGTCTTCATGGCATCAGACTGTCTGCGTTCAAAGGCCAGCTCCTAACACTCGGTTGCCATGTGACTTTGGACAAGTCCCTCTCTAAGCCTCAGTTGCCTCATCTACCAAATGGGGGGCGATAGCAGGTGCTGGGACCTCAGAAGGTGTTTGTGAGGTTACAGGGAGCTGCTCCCATACTGAGCTCAGGCAGCCTCCTGATTGCTGCCATTATCACTGTAATCATGTCACCAGGGAGTCAAGACAAGGCTCCAGCTACAAGATTCTCCTTCCAAGAGAACAGTGGCTGTAGGTGGCATCCTGCTGGTGTCTCACCTGCACAGTGACCACCAAGATCTTCACCACCTGCAGCATCAGCTTGAAGGGCTTGCGGCCCTTGGCCCGAAATTTGTCACACGGACTCATGAAGAAGTACTTGAGCCGGCGGCGGAGGTCTTCCTCTTCTGGAGGGGCCGGCGAAGCTTCCGCCTGGGTCCCATACCCAGGGCTGGGGGTCAGGAGGCGCTCGGTCTCTGTGAGAGCAGGAGAAGGCAGTGGAGGCCAGGCCCAGGTAGGCCCACCTGCCAACAGGGGAGGCAGGTCCCGTGTTCCAGCCAAGAAAGAACTCAGAATTTGATATTTAGGTTTATCATAGGGGCTGGTACATAGTAAGAATATCAAAACATCCCATCATTATTCCTGTGGCCGATTTGTGGGGAGAGAATCAATTTCTTCCACTGGCTCCTCACAAGATACTCCTGGGCTCATCCCAACTCCAGCTTCCAGGCATGAGCATGGAGCTCAGCTACATTCCAGTTCTTCTTTTTGGACAGACACCCCAAGAATGACCTTCCCACTCGTCATGGCCTGGCTGACCCGGGTGATGCTCTCACAAGCCCCAGGCATGGAGATGGGGGACTGACGGTAACAGGATTACATTTGCTGAAGGCCCACTGGGTGCCAGTGGATGTCAGTACAGCACTGCCGTGTGTTAGCTTATGAGCTAAAATGGTATCTTTATTAAGGGCGCTAGCTGTCTGGAAATAGAGCCCTAGGACCAAATCCCAGAACTGCCACTTCCCATCTGAGGGATCCTGGGCACCTTTGTAAGTCTCAGTCTTCTCATCTGAAAAGTGGAAATGACGTCTATACCCTTGAGGCTGAAACCCTGACAGTACTCTGAGAATGAAGTGAGGCAGAGAAGATAAAAGCCTCAGTTCAGCCCGAGTCTCAGTAATTTTTGAGCAAATAGGTACTATTCTGAGCACTGATTATTCCCCTGAATCCTGACCAGTCTAAGAGGTAGGCACAAAGTTTCAGCAACCACTGGGGTCAAAGCTGCTCACAGCAGCCCAGGACCCTCCCTGACAGCCCCCATTACCCCCCACTGGAAGAATGCTGCTTCTTTTCAGGGCCTGGCTGGTCCCCTACCTGCCCCGGCTGCCAGGATGGCTGCAGGCACTGTCAGAGCCTGTCTTGCAGGGAGGGCCAGCTCCTAACCCATCCCTTTGGAGCCTGGATGCTGCTGTGGTTGTTTATGAGACAGCCAGGTGGGAAGCTGGAGGGGAGGCCGCTTCCCTAGCTGGGATCACAGTAAATACCCCCAGACCCTACCAGCTGGGGCACCTTTCAGGTGTCCCCAGCTAGCTCATGAAGGGAAAACCAACACAGGGTTCTTCCTCCAGGCTCCCCCCAAAAAGGTGGAGACCAAAGTGCTTGGAAAGGGGCCACCCACGATCTGAGTTCAGGAAAGCTGAGCAACCCAGGCCTCCTGGATTGAGGAAGGAAGCCTGGATATCTCACGTGCGGACTGGAGAGCTGGTGCCCGCTGTCTGAGTTCTAGCAAAGCTTAGCAATCTGAACCTAGGCTCAGAATGGAAATCCTGGGATCCTCGCCGTCCCTAGTGGGAGAAGCTGGCGCCCGCCCACTGCCTGAGTTTAGGAACTCCGAGCAGAGCCTGGGTCCAGAGGGCAATTGGCAGTCCCGCCACTCAGAGCTCGGGGAAGCTGGTGCCCTCCCGCCGCCCAGGTTCTAGGAGCCGTCTGCTTTTATCTCCATCACCGCGAAGCTGACAAGTCAGCACGGGACTTTAGGAAAGGGAAAATGCGAGGCCCGCCGCCACAGGTCGGAGAAGCCGGCCGGCGGTCTGCTCGCCGCCTGCGTTGGAGCCCCGCGCCCTCACCTGAACCGCACCGGCCCCCGGGGGCCGCCATGTCTGTGCGGGGAGGGCCGCACACCGGCGGGCGAGGCGGGGCAGCAGGGGTCCGAGCGCCCGCGGCCGTCACTGCAGCGTCGCGCCCTCCCGGTCCAGCTTCAAACACTCCCGCATCAGCTGACAGGAGCCTCGGCCACGTGACGAGGGTGCCCCCGGAGCCGCAGGACCGGATCCGGGCCCGCCCCTTGCGCCACAACCCCAGCGGGAGCAGTACGCATGCGTGCCTCAAGTGCGGGCTTGCGGACCCAAGGCGGTTGCGAGATCCTAGCGCCGACCGTCGGACACTGTGTTGGGGAATGGGGGTCCTCTGAGCGTTCCTGCGTAGGATTGGCTCGGTCCTGGTCCCTGTCGTGTACGCGTCCAGTGCCGGTTCTTGATTTCCATGTCCAGTGCTTGACTCCTTACCCTCTGCGGTGTCCGGCAATAACCCTGCATCCTATTATCTCAGGGATGACCCCCTCCAACCTCCCAGAAAGCTGGTGTTCACTCTCCATTCCTTTCGCTTCTGCCCCCCACATCTGAACTGTCAGCAAATCCTATTTCATTTCTTAATTATGTCCCAGATAGGATCACTTCTCTCTACTCGAATAGCCATCAGCCTAGAGTTCCCCAACATTCCTGGCCTGGACCACAGCAGCAACCTCCTCCTTGATCTTAGGCTCCATTCCTGACCCCCTCCATTCCACTCTCCTTTCAGCAGTGAGAAGCATCTTCAAAGAATAATTCATATCCTCTGGCAGAACCTGCTGGTGGCTTCCCATTGCTCTGGGATGACAAGTAAACTTCCCACCTCAGTCTACCAGAGCCTTAGGGTCTGGCCCCACCAACTCCTCTTGCACATCTCTGTGGCCTCAGGGCCTTTGCACACTCTTGCCCTGGAGCATAATAGTTAAGAATGCAGGGTCTGCAGGGCAGACAATTCAGGTTTAAATCTAGGTGCTATCAACCACCACTTCTGTCTTCCATAAGTCCCTTAAACCCCATGTGCTACACTTTCTTCTTTGCAAAATGGGAATACTCAGTCACAGCTATCTGCCTCATGGATTAATTAACAAAATGCAAGAGCATAGCACAAGGTTGGGCAAACAGTACTGATTATTAAATTACTGGTTATCGGGATTATAAAATCCCTCCTTGGGAAAGCCATCCTCAACTAAATAAGTCTTGCTATGCTTCTTCTAGAATGCACTATACCCTGGAACTATTTGTTAAATGTTTCTGAATTCGGTATCTGTGAGCTCCTTGAAGGCCAAGGCCGTACTTATCTTGCTCCCTGCTGAGACCCCAGCAATCAACAGATTTATGTTGAACGCATAAATGAGTCACCTCCTACAGTCGTGTACCTATAATGTGAGCTTTAGGGCAAAGGGTAGGTTAGGGGAGCAGATGGGGTCAGGCCACCCTCATAATCTTATATCAGCATCCGTTATTAGCCCACTAGACTATCAACGCGCCAGAGATTCCCCCATTTGTGGAAAAGCCAGAGGGATGGGATCCTTCTTAGACCACCTCCAGGATGAATTTGTCTCTGACTAGTGTGAAACCTTGTGGGGAAGCTGGGAAGCCTGGGGATGTGGTGGGCCTAATCCGAGATACCGGGATTCCAGATGTATGGCTGGCTCAGGTCACACCCTCCCATTCCCTTAGGAAGGGACCGTGCATTAGGAGAAGAAAAACAGGCAAGCCGCAGCACAGAACCAGGAGGCAGTGGATTTTACTAAACTGCATGACACACAACTTCTGCAGGCCCCTGTGGGTGCCAGCGTCCCCTTCAGCCATCAGGCCCCAGAAGTGCCCCTTGCTCCTGCCCCCACTCGGGACTTTCGCCAGTAGGGAGGGCTGAGCTGACAGTGTCATGGGTGGGAGAGCAGGGCTCAGGGAAGGACTCAGGGTTGGGAGCGGGGCTGGGCATGGGATCCGAGTAGGGGCTAGGATCAGATCTGTGGTCAGGGCTGGTGTCCTGACCAGGCTTAGGGTCAGAAGATTTGACAGGATCCGGGATTGGGGTAGATCTGGAGCCAGAGGTGGGTTTGGGACTGGGATTGGGGTGGGAACCCAGCACAGGGTCAGGGCCAAGGCCAGAGCTGGGGCCAGGGCTGAGGCCCAGGCTAGAGCCAAGCACAGAGACAGCATCAGGACCCAAGAGAGAGACCTGCCCCGACCTCAACATGGAAGCAGGGCTGAGGCCCAGGCCGGCGGCAGCAGCGGCGGCGGCGGCGGCGGCAGCGGCGGCGCCTTCGTGCACCCGCTTGTGCTTGGTGAGGCTGGAGGCCTGGCCAAAGGCCTTGCCACAGAGCTGGCAGCGGTAGGGGCGCTCTCCCGAGTGCACGTGCAGATGCTGCAGCAGCGCCGAGCTCTGCCCGAACGCCTTGGAGCAGTGGGGGCAGGCGTAGGGCCGCTCACCGGTGTGGATGCGCAGATGGTGCTGCAGGTTGGAGCTCTGGCCAAAGGCCTTGCCGCAATGCGGACAGCGGTAGGGCCGCTCGGCTGTGTGCGTGCGCTGGTGCTGCAGCAGCGCCGAGCTCTGGCCAAAGGCCTTGCCGCACTGCGGGCAGGGGTAGGGCCGTTCGCCCGTGTGCGTGCGCAGGTGCTTGAGCAGCGCCGAGCCCTGCCCGAAGCCCTTGGCGCACACTGGGCACTTGTGCGGCCGCGGGCCTCCGTGCGTGCGCAGGTGCTGCGCCAGCAGAGAGCCGTGCCCGAAGGCCTTGCCGCACACGGGGCAGTGGTGCGGCTTCTCACCGCTGTGGCTGCTGCGGTGCTTGAGCAGCGTGGAGCGCCAGCCGAAGGCCTTCCCGCAGGCCGCGCACTGGTAGGGCCGCGCGCCCGTGTGGATGCCGCGATGCTGGGCCAGCGTGGCGCCGTGGCTGAACGACTTGCCGCAGTCGGGGCAGCGGTACGGCTTCTCACCGCTGTGCGTGCGGCGGTGTTGGCTCAGCCCCGAGCTACGGCGGAAGGCTCGCCCGCAATCAGGGCAGGAGAAGGGCCGGGGCGGACTGGCGGGGGCAGGGAGCACTGCGGCGCTGGTGGCCAGGACCTCGGGGTTGGCAGTGAGGCCGGATGACAGGGGGTCCAGGTCTGGGGCAGTGGTGGGGCTGAGGGTTTCGCTGTTAGGGTCGAGGACCAAGGGGACAGGGCCAATGACATCTGGGTCGAGGTCGAAACTCGAAGACATGGGGTCGAGATCTTGGGGATCTGAGTCCCGGGTCCCGGAGACAGAGCTCGGAACCTCGGCATCCGGGTCCAGATCCTCTGAGACGGGCTCCAGATCTTCATAGCTGGGGTCCACGTCTTCAGAGACAGTGTTGAGGTCTTCCGGGTCAGGCTCCGGGTCTTCGGAAACTGGGTCCAGCTCTTCAGGGTTGGTGTCCAGTTCTTCTGGGTCAGAGTCAGGCTCTTCATAAGTGGGCCGCAGGCCTTTGTGGCCTGGGTTTCTGACCAGCACCGAGCGTCGCATCCCTGATGTGGAAGTGCCAGCTGCTTCCAGGGCAGGATCTGCGAGGTAAGGACAGAGAGTGGATCGAGGGAGGGTCCGGGGATTGGTCTCTTTTGCAGTCTGGGGAGAGGAGGGAGAGGGAGCCAGGCTATGACCCAGAACTCACTCCCGGACACATAGACGGATCCTTCTCCTGTCTCAAGACTATAGGCAGACCTGTGACTTGCCCCAGCCAGAATAAGGAGAGGGTCCTGGTGGGACATGGTGCTGGGGGAGGCACCCTCCCTTCTCAGCCCCACACCTGGATGGAAGTCATGGGCTCTGGCACTAGAGGTCTCCAGAGCCCAGCTCCACGGCTCTTCCCTTCCCTCCATCCTGGACTTTTCCTTTCCAGGGACGCTTGAGTCCTGTGAGGAGAGGGAGTCCTGGGTTCCAACCCCCTTGCTCAGACTCCTCTCATGCAGAAGAGGGTGCGTGTCAGAGTTCCCGGGCTTGCTCCTAACTACAGGGCCTGAACCCCCATCCTATAGTTGGGGTTGCATATTTGGGGATTCCAGGTAGGAAGGGTGATCTGTAGTTCACTTTCCAGAGAGGGGGCATCCTGAACTCTGAAGCCTCTATATGGGGGATACGTCAGGGGGCCAACATCTGGTACTTTTTGTGGGTCACCAGGGGAGGGCAGTGGCACCCCAGCTTACTTCCTGGGAAAGAGACTATCTGAATGCCTGACCTCAAGTTCCTGCGTGCATGTAACTGTCAAACACCTGTGTTTCCAAACACCTGTTCCTAAAACTAGAGAGGGTGGTGAATGAATCTGTGGGACCTGTGGCAGGACATGGAAACCCACAGACCCCATGGCCAGGAGGGCAGACACAGGTGTCCAGCAGTGTGCCTGCTTACCCACCTGGATAGAAGATCCTGAATTCTGACCCCAGCTAGGGGGTGGGGTGGGTAAAGTAATACTCAGGGCCCCTCTTGGGTTACTGGGGCTGGGGGCGCGGTGGTTGTGGGGGCTCCTGGGCCACCTCCTAGGAAGGGGGAGATTCCTGAGCAACTGATCCCATGGCTGGAGTATGGGAACGGGTGTCAGGACACTTTTGTCCCCTCTTGGAGGAAAGATCCTAAATTCCAGCCCCCATACCTGAAGGGAGGGTGGTGGGTGAAGAAACAATAGCTGGGACCCCCACTAGAGGGACAAAGGGAGTTCTGAAGTACCTGATGGGGAGGTGATGTCTTGGGCTACCTACCCCATGGTTGGGGTTTGGGGGCCTTTGGCTTTCCTTCTGGGGAGGGGACATCCTGAGCCACAACCCAATAGCTGGGAGTGGGTACGCAAAGGGACAGGGCAGAGTTCTTAGACCGCCTCCTCAGCTCAGATCCCACAGTTGGAGGATGGAGGGAACAATGCCTGGGTACACCCTGGGTTTCTGGGGGGCAGGGGGACTCTTAGATTGCCTCCCGAGGGTCTCCCAGATTCCCATCTCTTAGCTGGAATGCGGGGAGAAATAACTGAGGTCCTCCCTAAGTTCCTGGGGGGCAGGTGGCCCCCTAGATCACCTCCTGGGGGAGGGGGTTTCCAGAACTCTGGACCCCAACACTGGAGAGTGAGGGGAACAGTAACTGGGGTCCTGGGGGCCGAGGGAACCCTGTATCGTCCCCTCCGGGGAGGTCCTCCTGAACTCCCGACCCCAGGCCGGAGGCAGGGGAGAACAATGCCGCGGTCCCCTCCAAGGTTCCTGGAGGAGGGGGTCTGGGTCGCCTCCAGGGGAGGGGTGCTGCCTGAGCCCCCGACCTCCGGCTAGGCGGCCCCCCCACCTCCCGAAGGAAGGCGCCCAGATCCTCCAGGCCCTTCCCCGGGGCCCCGGCGGTGGATCGGGCGCGCTAGGCCGGCGCGCCCCCTCCCCTCGCGCGGCGTCCCGGCACTGCAGGACCGGCGGGCGGGCGGGGGCCGCACAGAGGTCGCCCCGGGCCGCGCCCCGCGGCCGCCCCCGCCCGGCCCCCGCCCCGGTCCCCGCCCGCCCGGCCCGCTCGCGGGGACACTCACCCGGCGCCCCTCGCCCCTGCCCGGCCCGCCGCGCCCCCCGGGCCCGCAGGAAGACCCCCGCCCTCCAGCCCCGCCGGCGGCCCCCTCGGCCCAGCGGCCCCGCCAGGCGCTCCCGGGGAGCAGAGGGGCCGGGCGAGGGCCGCAGCGGGAGCTGCTGGGACTTGTAGTTCGCCCGCGCCCGCCGCGGCCGTCGCCATCGCTGCCCCCGCCCCCCGGGCCAGCCTTTGTCCCGGCCCGGCTGCCCCGGTCGCGCCTTTGTCTCTGCGGCCCGCGCCCGGCCTCGCTGTGCCCCCGTCTCAGTCAGCGCCGCTGCCCCTCTCTGCTCCTGCCTGCTCCTGTCCCTGTCGCCGCTCTCGCTGCCCCGTCTCTCTCCCCATCTCTGTTCCTTCCTCTGTCAGTCCTTGTTTCTGTGTTTGTCTCCATTTCAATCTCTTTGCCTCTGTTCCTGCCACTTTTTATGCCTCTGCCCCTCTGTCTACCCACCCCCCTGCCCTGGCCGCCGCTCTTTCTCTGTCTCAGCTTCCTGCCATGTCTCTGACTCTTTGTTCAGAAAACACCATTCTCTCTCTCTCTGGCGCATTCTCAAGGCACCTATGTGAAGTCAAGGCTCTGAGAAGCCCTGCAGTTTATACATTTGTTCATCTTGGCTTAATCCAGCGTTTCCTTTCAAGAGCTCCCCAAGGAAGAGTGTTGGGGACACTGTCCCTGAGTATTCCTGGCTGGTGGGTCACTCACTGCTATCACTGGTAGACCCCCTGTGCCTGCCGCTCACTAGTATGGTGATCTCTGCAGAAGCCTGGGTCAAGTCTGGGAAGGACGCAGGGCAGACGTTACCTGGAGACACAGATCCCCACAAAGAGAGAGTGCAAAACTGGCGTGGCAAGCTGGCAGCTGGGCCCTGATGTTCTTCACTGAACACAAACAACGGTCACAGAATATAAACAAGGATCACACAAGGCCACTCTGTGACCATGTCTGAACCAAGCCAGAGACAAGGACGCTTGGCAACCACAAAAATGGATACACATCCCTCTCTCCCGCCTAATGCACGTGAGTGCGGCAAGTGACTGCCACTTCTTACCAGTGACAGCCTCAGTTCCATCCTCTTTCTGAGATAAAAATCACCAAAATTCCCGGTCACCTATCTGCTCTGCTTCCTGACAGCACCCACCTAGGATTGCTTCTACTCTCTTCAACACTCTTTAAAACTACCCAGCACATGCCTGAATCCTGTGAGATGCCCTCCTGACTCCCAACTCCCTCTTAAAAAGGTGCCCCTTGGTTCTGTGGTATGTGGTCCTCTGTGCCACAGCAAGCTAAAAACTTCCTTGACTATGGGTGTGCTTCTGATGGTCTTTGGCTGGTGAATTTGAACACCACCCTACCCTTGAACACAGCCTCAAGAGAATCAGGCCTCCAGGAGTCTTCTGATCTTAACCTTCTAGATCTGTGCTGAATATATGGCCTGAGACCAGCTTTCCACCTCTCTGGAAAAGTCCAGAGCAGATCTGAGACATTTGAGACTGCAGTTGGATTATGTAACTGGTTCCTCATGCAGCCACCTCAGGATGATCCCATTACAATTGATTCTTGTAATGACGGCTGTTGTTTCTACCTGCTAAGAATCTCTATTAACACCTTCTTGCTTTCTCTTTGTGGATTCCCCCTTCCACTACTCCAGTTGGACCTGTGCCTGACACAACACCCCCAGTACCATGTACTCTAAATTTACCAGTCAGAGAACGCCATTCCCTGGCCACAGTGATTAGGTCTGGGATGAGAACATTATGTTGGAAAGTCTCATTCTTCCTTTAGGGTCATGAGGTCTATATAGGGCCTCATTCTACCTGCATTCACCTTCCCCAGTGATCTGGAAGAATAATTTGCATACAGTATACCAGTATATACAAGAGAGAGTCAGAGCAACAGCTCTGACAGTATTGGCTGAGCACCTGGATAGAGCCATACCTGAAGCTAGAGCCCTCATTCTATCCAATACCATAAGCCAACAAATTGCCTGGGTATTTCAGCTAGTTTTAGTGGGCTTCTGTCCCTGAATCCACAATGGTCTTGACTAATTAGAAACTGGTACCTGGAAAACTAGTATCCTTTCCCTGGAAAGGGAAGAGTATTGAGAGAAGTAACTTAAAATGTGGAATTGGCTTAGCAAAGGTGAGGTACAAGGCCAGGACCACCACATATGAACAATCGCCATAAATTTTTTTTTTTATTAAAGTGTCATTAATACACAATCTCACGCTGGGTTCAAATGTACATCACAGTGGTTCAACAGTCCCCATGGCCAATTTATATTGTGACTGCGAATTTTTATGCCCCTTTATCCCCCTCCCCCTCCCCTGGGCACCCTTCCCAACCCCTCCCCCTTGGTAACCAGTAGTCACTTCTCAGTGCCTATGAGTCTATTGCTGTTTTGTTCCTTCTGTCTTGCTTTGTTTTAATATTCCACAAATAAGTTAATTTATATGATATTTGTCTTTCTCCCCCTGGCTTATTTCACTGAGCATAATACCCTGTAGATCCATCCATGTTGTTGCAAATGGTAGGATTTCTTTTATTTTCATGTTTGAATAATATTCTGTTGTGTATACATACCACCTCTTCTTTCTCCATTCATCTACTGATGGACACTTAGGTTATTTCCATTTCTTGGCTGTTGCAAATAGTGCAGTGACAAACGTAGGGGTGCATATATCTTTTTGAGTCAGGGATTTTGTTTTCTCCAGGTAACTTCCTAGGAGTGGAACTACTGGCTCAAATGGTATTTCTGTTTTGGATTTTTGAGGAACCTCCTTACTGCTTTCCAGAGAGGTTGCACCAATTTACATTCCCACCAACAGTGTAGGAGGGTTTGTTCTTCTTTCTCCGCATCCTCACCAGCATTTGTTATTTCTTATCTTTTGAAATAGTGGCCATTCTAACAGGAACATTCACCGTAAATGAATAGGGCTCCCTATTTGTAGAGTGCACAACCTGCCTGGATTTATATGACAGCCCTGTCTTTGGAAGAACCCTCCCCGGGAAATGAAAAAGCTGTATGCTTATTTTATCTTGGGACTCTAACCATGTGTCTCCTGAGACTGTGGTTTGAAGGGCTCTGGAGAAAAGTGTCAGGATGTTGATATACATGGGCATTATCATCAAGTCTTCAGTAAGGTCTTGCCAGACAGACACACGCTCCCTCTCTCTGTGCTCCTCCTCAAAGCAGAGACTTGCATTATGTGAGACTGCCCCACCAGAACTGTCCGTCACAAGCTAAAAGAGGAAGTTAGGAAGTAAATTAAATCATTCCTAGAAGATAAGATTGGGATTATCAGAGCTCTAGGACCGCCTGATGGATGCCCAGGCTACTCTCAAACACTGAACGTTCCCTATCCATAAAGGTACAATTACCCTCATTGGGAAGAGTCTATTACTGAGTCTTTCCACCCTCCGGATAGTAACCTGGGGCAAGATAGATGCTAAGCCCTAGGACAGGCACTGGTCTGTTGCTAGGGGACGGAGTCTAACAAAGTTGGGCTCCAGAGTCAAAGATCCTGGGGAGCTTGGTGTAACCACACCACTCAGGGGTGGGCTAAACTGGGCCATCCAATCACAGCATTGCATCCCTCTGGGCACAGTGATTGGTTCATGCCTCAAAGTGTCCAATCAGAGGCTTCCTCAAATTTCAAATTGAGTTGTTGGGGGCAAGACCTCCCCATTTCCGTTGGGGCTTTCTGATCATAAGGATTTGGGCAATCAGCGTCCTTTTATTTGCCACCGCTTGGAGGCACACCGGACTGACAAACGGTGAGGGAGAGAGAACCAGCAGGGCTGATGTTAGACCTAATTTCCACTTTCTTGTTTTTAAGTCAATAAAATTCCTTTCTGCTTAGCTAGAGAGAGCTGGGTTTCTGTCACTTGTAACAAAAATTACCTAAGACGTTAAAAAAATTTAGGCACTATTCATTGAGCTGCAGCCAAGGGCTAGGACCTGTAGTAAGAATGGTACATGAACATTTTATTTCATTCTTGTAACCACTCTAGGAATGAAAAACTATTGCCATCCCCATTTTACAGATGAGGAAAGTGAGACCCAGAGCATGACATAACTTGTCCAGGAACAGACAGTAAGTGACCATCTGAATTCTGACACTTAACATTGACAAGATGTTTTCCCTTACAAATTATTCTGTTTTCCCACATTCAGTTCTATTTTTTTATTTCCGCTTTCTGCTTATGCTAGATAAAGCTTTTTTAAAAAAATTATTAACCTTATTTCATAAGCCTTTTTAGTTTCTATAGTTTACATGAAGTGCCTTTTTTGGGGGTGGAGGTGGGATATAGGAGGGATAGACATAGCTCCACAAAATACACCCAGAATCATGATGATGTAGGGTCTTTCTGCATTAAAAATGTTTCCAGTAAAGTTTATGTTATTTCCTGGCAAGCCATCCCAGGGCTGCTCAGTTCCATTTTTAGAAAATGCTTCAAGTGGTGATAAAATCTGCTTCCTTGGAACTCCTACCTGTTTTTTCTCATCTGGTGTCTGAGTGGTTTTTAAACCATTCTTAGAACAAGGCAGGAGCACAGATAATCCTGCAACTGGAGCTATATGGAATTGAGCACCAAAGTTAAGTTTTTTGAGCTTCCTGGCAGGCAAGGCAAAAAGGAAAATGCTTTTTGTTTGAGTAGTTTGGTCAACAAGCAGACCAGCTTCATCAGGAGAGCCTGATTTTATCCTGGGAACTATTGTAGGGTGGGTTTATTGCAATGGTTCTCAACCAGTGCCCCCAAGGGACATTTGGCAATGTCTGGAGATGTGTTTAGCTATCACAACTGGGTGGGAAAGAGGAAGTGTGTTACTGGCATGTAGTGGGTAGAAGTCAGGGATGATGGCAAACATCCTGCAATACACAAGACAGTCTCTGACAGCAAAAATGATCCTATCCAAAACGTCAGTAGTGCTGAGATTGAGAAATGCTAGTTTACCAGCAGGTAATTCAGAAGAGAGTTATGGGAATCTTTCGTGGAAGCCAGCAGAAGAGATGTTCTGCAGCTAGCAGACCCCTATAGTTAACATGGATCCATGAGTGCAGCCAAAAGGCCATCTTGTCCCTTAGGACCCAACACTGGATTCCTGTCTTTCCTGTGGAAATGGCACCTTGGCCTCACAGGAGGGGCTCCTGGCCACCCTTGAGGTTGGCTCTTAGTGGCCTACTGGATTGGGGCCCTTGGTCTATGAAGGTCTGACTACAGGCCAGGGAGCTGTGTTCATTCCCTAAAACTGGATTCTCAACAGCCTGCAGAGGCAGGGCCCGGGCATGGCCACCAAGACCTGTCTATCCCAGACAGCACCAGCTTCTTGGTGCTAATCTCACTAGACCTCAGACCTCCAAGCTGGCGCTGCTGTCCAGAGTACTGCTCCTTGCCATGTTTGCTAAGCCCTGTCACCCACGGGCCTCAAGGCCTCACCCCATCCTCTTCCTTTCCACTCTTTTTCATTTTGTCCCTGGCTGGATACCTACCCCCTTTGATTCAGTCATATCCTGACAGTTTTTGTTGATTTGGCCCTGGACCCAGCTCTGACCTGGGGAGGCCAGCCACCCAGCCAACCAGCGCACCACTGAGCTTCCAGCCTCTGCCCACAATGGGGGAAACTGCTGGCCATTCTCAGCTTGTCCACCTCTCCATGGCCTCTCCATGCCCCACCCAGTCTCTCAATGATTGAAAGCTCCTTCGCACACCTACCTCATCTTCCGTTCTTCCCCTTCATCCTTGAGGGATGCTCTCTCCCTCCTCGACCCCCCAGCCACACACAGACAAGTGGAAACAATTCTCATTTTACAGATGAGCAAACGGAGGATCAGAAGGATTCAGTGACTTGCTCAAGACTACCATCCAGGGGGAGTCAGGATTTGGACTGTCCATTCGACCCAGGAACCTGTCTGTGCTCTCAACCCCTCACCATACTGTCTCTGCTCAATGCTGACAGCAAGTCATTGTCCTTGAACCCAAACAGCTTACACTGAGTCCCACCACCAAGCCTTGGCAATAGCTGGGATGGCCTTCCTGCCCAGAGTGAGGTGACCCCCAGGCTCCACACAAATGTCTGTTCAGGGTCTTCCTGATGGAGTCATTCTTTCCTGTCCAGTCCCTACCTCTCCGAGCATCCTCCATGATTGACCAATGGAGAGGGGTGGGATTTGCCAAAGCAGTGTTTATTGCTGCCTAGGGTACGAGTAGATAGGGGCCTGGGGGGCCTGAGGGCCTACCTGCCCAACCCCCCAGCCACACTGGTGGGGTGAGCCCAGAGGCACGTGGCTCTCCTGGAAGTTGCCCCATCTCAGCACTGCTGGGCCTTGATACTTGACAGTAAAGTCGTCTTTGTGATGGGTTAAGAAGAAGCGCCTGGTACCCAGTGGGGGTTCGATGTGGCTATACTTGCATTGTGGAGTCAGGGTGGTAACAGCTTGGCAGGACTGCCTGGAGGGTGGCTGACCTGCTGCGCCACCCCGTGGTCCCCACACCATGCAACCTGGGGGATCACCCTGGTGATTGGGCCTGGTTTGGGCTGATCACAGGTGCTGGATGAGAAGCCAGACGGAAACCGGGGGTGGGAGGCCCTGGAATGACCCCAGGGGTGGAGTGACCCTAGGCAACCCTGAGCTGAGCCTCAGCTTGGGGTATAACCATGGCAGGTGATACGAAGATGCCCCTGTGCTGATCCTGACGTGACTGTGGGGATGAGCTCGGAATGACATTAAGATGCGCGGGAGCCTGGGGTAACCCTAGAGGGACCCTGAGCGGACTCGACGCTCATTCGGAGTCTGAGGTCACTGCAAAAACATCTTGAGATAACGCCACACTGATTTGGGGGGATACCTGGTCAGGGAGGCACCCCCTCCCCGTCCCTCACCCGCTGTAGCATTTGGTCCGTCACGGAGGCCGGAGCTGTTCTATGCGGCTTCAGCATCTTTTAGTTCGTGGTAAAAAAATCTTGTTCTGGAGATTTGGTTGGGGGTAGTTGAGCTGAGGGGCTGAGTGGGGAGATGCGGGGCCCAAGGGACAGGGTCGTGCGAGACTAGAGAGGGGGTACGGGGTTCAGAGCCAACGCTGGAGTTGGCGTTCAGGACGGATTTGGAGCCAGGGCGCGTCGGGGGAGGGGCAGGTAGGGTAGGCTAATTGGCCCAGGGTGGGAGAGTCCGACAGAGGAGGCGGGGTTAGCGTCAGCGGAAGGTGTGGATGGGCGGGGCTATAGTCCTGCAGGGGGCGGTGCCATGGCGGCGGTGGGGGATGGTGAGTCAGACCACGAGGGGGCGGGGTTGGGATCTTGGTCCAAGGAGTGGGATCTAGTTCTTCACGAGGTGGAGCCGAGTCGAGCAATGGGCGGGGCGGGGCTGGCCTGGGGGCGGAGCCAGCGCGGTTGCGGAGACGGGGCTTCCGGGGCTTCCGGGGCGGGGCGGGGCGGGGCCGAGCTCACCACCGGTACCCTGGGGCAGGTTGCTCTGCAGCAAGTGGAGGTTGGGACGCTTTTTGTGGTTGCTGCGGCCCAGGGGGGCAGTAGTCCGTGCCCATGGTGGTCTGGAAGAACTGTCCGAGCAGCGACGAGTTCCCTAGGTCCACGTGACTCTGCAATTTCTCATGAGCCACGTAGCGGCTGGGTGGCTTGGTCGCGGGCATCGGCTGTAGGACCACATGGCATCTGGAAAGCTCCCGTGTCCGGGATGTCCCAGGACACTGTTGGAGGTAAGAGGTGAGAACTGTGTGACCTCGGAAGCTTCCACCCTCTCTGGGCCCCATGTACTGGAGCTGGGAGTTGGTATTGTTATTTCATTTTACAGACAGAGCCATTGAGGCTCGGAGTGGTGAAGCGACTTACCCTAGATCATGCAAATAGATCCAGGAGATCTCCGCACACATGTGAAGCTCATGCTTACCTCAGGGGCCTTAGCATTTGCTGTTTTCTCTGCCTGGGAAGCTCTTTTCCCTGATGAGCCCTGACGCCTTCTCCCCCTTCCCACTGACCTGGCTATGGAAGAAGTGGGAGGAGGTGGTGAGGCTGCTGTGGCCGGGGCACCAATTTCCTTCTAGGATGTGCGACTCCGGGGTGCGGTCGTGGTGAAGAACATAGCGATCTGCCAGAGGCAGAGTAGATGCTGGGCAGATCGGGAAGGCTGCCCTGGGCTCCAGGGGCGGGGGCAGGCGCCGGGCTCTCACCTGGCTCCCGGGCATAGAAGTGTTCGGCCTTGGTGGTCCTGTCAAGGAAGAGGTCATCTTCAGGAGGTATATTTACATAGTGGATGTGGGCCGAGGCCTGGGCCTTGTCATACCTGCAGATAAAGGGGGGACCATCTGATCGAGGTCCTTGGAAATCCTAGGAACAGGGAGAGAGGCAGCCTTCCCAATGGGCAAGCCATGGGGATCTAATGTAGGGGCTTGCCTGCAGGTGATGGAGACCTCAAAAGCACAGTAATGGCCCTAGAACCTTAGGTGGCACACCCCACAGGTCTCTGAAAGCCCTTTGCAGTGTCTTGTTGGGAGGCACTGTCGCTTTGTACCTGTCTGGGGGCAGGCCCTGGGGCTTGTAGGCTTGCTTCTGCTCAGAATAGACTGGCCCATAGCCAGTCTTGAAGTCTCCCAGTTTCACACTAGAGGAGGCCTGTGGGTAGACAGGGGTAGGAAGGCCAAGAACACCCAGCCCCACCGCAGCCCTCCCCAAGCAGCACCAGCCCTGCCTTGACTTACCTTCTTACACATCGAGGCTGGTGGGCTCGGCAGGGCCTGGAACTGTCTCTGACAGGAGGTCCCTTGGTCCTCTCTCCTGTGGTCCCACCTGAGGGGGTTGGGGCCCCCTGAAGAAGGGCAAGAAAAGACAGAGAGTGAGATTGTCGCCTCAGGCCCAGGGGGTCCAATTCCTTGCCCTTCGCAGCGGGTGGTCCTGACTAGCCTAGCCTGAGGGCTGTTAGGAAAACACACCAGATAATTAAATAATGATAATCAGAATAACTACCAAGCATTGAGCCAGGCATCCAGGTTAAGTGTTTTGCCCTGCATTTGGGGGACTGGCTTATTCCCCCACTTTACAGCCTTCTGGAGCCTCAGAGAGGTCAGATGACTTGTCAGAGATCACAGAAATTCAGAACTGGAACGTTACCAAATTCAGGTCTGACAATCCCTGAGCCCAGCTTGGAGGTACTCTGACTAGTGGTGTCCCCAGAAGGGTCCCTGGAGTCACAGAATTAGAAAATCACATGGAGGACTACTATGCTTTGTTGAGCGCTCCCTAAATGCCCAGAGCATCTCACTACTTCCAACTACCAACAACATAAAAATAAAATGACAATTTAACACAATAAAAATTACA